AAGTACGTGTGTCGCCTGGACAGTCAACCTCGCTACATCCTTGTTGACTGGACATCTACACTACATGAGCTGCTGTTTACATGTGAACATTAGCTTATGACGATACCTAAGTACGTGTGTCGCCTGGACAGTCAACCTCGCTACATCCTTGTTGACTGGACATCTACACTACATGAGCTGCTGTTTACATGTGAACATTAGCTTTACGAAGTCATCTTACTTTTAATATTTTTTTGTATTGAGTTCAAATGTTTAACTCTCAATGGTTAACAGCATTCCCGGTTGAACCAAAGTTCAATAATAAACCGAAAAAAATGAACTGTGACTGCCCTAACTAACTGAATTCAAAATCTTTTGTCAAAATCCAAATACAAAAAGTCATTCGTTTCAAAGAAATACCACATCGCCGACCAATTTAGTTAGAGCTCCAATTCTTTACAATTCCTCTCAAATGGAGGTCAATTTATAAGTGACATAACCAGTATAAATAGAGCTTTGAACAGATCGTTTGTTAATGTAACTATAGGTCATAAGTTTTGGTTGTCTCACATGTTTATCGGCCAAAATTAAGAGAGCCCTTTCCACATACATAATAGAATAGATTCGGAACATTTTTAATTTGGTTGTTTCGTTCTTAAGTTCGTAAAGTATCCAGTTTACTTAAGCTTGGTTTTCGAACTGTTATTGTTGAATTAGAGTTATTTTAATATTGGTTTTTAAATTACAATAAGTTTGAAAAAGAATTATGTTACCATGGCTTCAATATGAGTGCGTTCTATGGAATCTCGATTTCCGCTATTGAAACAAAATTGGATACCTAAGTAGGGAAGTGAGAAATAGTACAAATAAATAAAAAATACTTCGTCAAATGACATATTTCCAACTACCTAATAGTCCAGTTGGGTAGTTTTATAGGTTAAAAATAAATTAATTCGACGTTTCAATACAATAAAATACTTATTGAAAAACTAGCTTTTGCCTGCGACTTTGTTCGCGTGGAATAGTGACTTCCTTAAAATTTTTGGTATAAAAACTATCTTATGTCCTTTCTCGAGTTCCAGACTGTCTGTACCAAATTTCACACAAATAGGTTCAGTAGTTTAGGCGTGAAGAAAAGACAGACAGAGTTACTTACGCATTTATAATATTTAGATTGGATAACTATATACTTTTATTCTTCGATCAGTCGATACACAAATTTTTCGATATTATTTAGCTAAGTTTCAAGAAATAAGTAAGCTATTTGACGCAATAATACTAAGACGTCATAATTTGGAATTTCATACAGATTTTAAAGAAAAGTATATAGTTTTTGACATTTGGATAAAAGTATTGAATTTGAATAGTTGCAAAAGTACCTACTGTATATTTAACAGTATTTTTAGACAAAAACACAGAATAATACTTATCTATATATATAAAAATGGATCGCAAAAACTCAACAACGCCTGGACCAATTTTGTTAATTCTTTTTTTGTTAAGTATTGTCATGAAAAGGTTCTTATAAAAAAAATATTATAAAAGTAGAGGGGAAGATTAGGAACAAGTGACCCTTTGATAGCGAGATAGTTGGACCCGTGCGAAGCAGGGGCGGGCCGCTAGTATATAATAAAACTAGGTATATTTCCTGTCGCGTAGGTTTAGGCATCCATGATTGGCAACAATTATTTGATATGATGGCAGGCAGTTCTGTAGGTACCTAGATGGTCTTCAATGCGGTCCCGACGTTGGTAAGTATTTGCTTTACCATCAGCCTTCGATACCAAATAAAATTTTCAAAATTCCCATTAAAACGTAATTCGATTCTAAATCTCAACGAACAAGAAGCCATTTTGGATTTTTTTTATTGCAAAATAAGATCCGCGACTCGAACATATTTGCCAAAAACATCTGCAAGTTTTTTTCTTTTATCTAATTCGAAATTCGAATTTCAAAAGCGTCGAGTATAAAGTTACCATAGAGTAACGCCGAATTACAAAGGAAACTTTTGTTCGAAAATGGAACTATTCTCTGCGGATTAAAAATTGAAGGAACCATAAAAACCAATTTATCGATGCTGCAAACTACATAATTTTACAAACGAATTTGAACTCTGTGCTCTAATGGTTAGGAGCTAAGTGTAATTTGATTGACTGTTAAAAGTAAATTGGTTGTATCCTCTTCAATAGAATTGTAAAGATTTTGGGTATTTGTATTACAAATTTAATTTTGCAGTTGAATTTGATTATATTTATTCGATTTTGTGCTTTACTACTACGGAATAGAACTTTTAATAAATTATTTTGGTGACAAAATTAAGTTTGTAAGCAACCGCAAATTCTAACAGATGCATTGTCGTTCTAAATCCAAATTGGTTTCGACACAACTACCTAAATACGAAGAATTTTCGAAATTGGAACACTGCGTTCGATTTTAAAAATGGAATTAAGCAACTGTCAAATGTATTCGAATTTAAAAATGGAAGCAGATTATTTTTGACAAAAAAAAAAAATACATTTCGAACATAATATTGAGATTATGGAGATTTTTCGATAGATTCTAAGTAGATAGATAATATTGTGATTGGAGCTTGGCACACCATAAACCCTTTATTACAATAGGACAAATATTTAAGTTTACTAGCTGTGTGCTTAGCGAAATGTTTAAACCTCAGCTGTCTAAGTACCTTTTAGGAAAATCTGCTGTATATCATATTTTTTTTTAACGGGGTCCCGGATCCCGGACCTTTGGAAGGCGTACGAGGAGCCGAAGCTAACTCGCAGAGGCCCTTTGAACAGTTTTAATCTAAATGCGATGGGTCATCAGCCGGCAATTATCCCTGTATGCACTATAAAAGTGCACCCAAGGACAATCCCCGGTTATTGCAGGACTATTGTGCAATATGGTAAAAGTTAATATGGTTATGGATGAAGGTGGCTATTGACTGGTAGATGATAACTATAGAAATACTATGGCCCCTGTCCCTGACCAGTCATACATACGGATAAACAGGCAGTGCATGATGACTGGATGAGGCACCGCGACCCTGGCCTAGAGCAGGAGAAGGGACAAGGGTGCTATTAGTTAGTAGGCGTCTGACAATCCTTACCTTCCTGCCCCTGGGCGGGAGAAGTCATTTGATGATTTTCCCCTCACAAAAAAGTGTACCCATCTACATATATAATTAGGTTAGCTATTAAGTATTAAGTGTAGGAGAGCCAAGCTTTGGCACGAATGAGTCAGCTCAGCCGGAGTGATACCACGGCCTTACAAAAAACCGGTGTGAAACAACCACAGCGTTGTGTTTCGCCGTGTGAGTGAGGTTACCGGAAGCTCAATTTTTCCCTCCCCAATCCCTAAGAAATCTGGAACTCCTTTGGTATTGCGGGTATCCATGGGCGGCACTGATTACTTACCATCAGCTAATCCGTCTGCTCGTTTGTCGATCCATCTTGTAAATAAGGGTTTTTTAGGAGATTGTAAAATGGATCGCGTACACCATTAACTTGGGTTTATTGGGACTTTATTGGAAGACATCATCAGCCTGTAAGTACCCACTGCTGATTAAAGGCGTCTTTTTCTTATTCTATTTTTATTAACATTCGACGAGGGCGAAGCCGCCTTCGGAAGCTGGTTTAAAATAAACTTGATGACATTTCGATATGTGTACCTTTACTCCCATTAAATCAAAAATGCTAAGTAATTCAAATCATTGACTAACAATACCACTATAGTACAATAGTGCTACATCGGTTCTGTCACAATATTGTCCCTATAAATTAGTGCCTGCCCTGGTTTCCACGTAAATGTCACAATTTGACGACAAATGTCACAAGTGACGGTCGGCAGTGTAAACGTAGCCTTATTCGTGTATAGGATGTTCTAATTTTTTGTTGTTTTATTTTTTGATGTCAAAAGTAAATTATTTTAAATATATGATGATTTCGTGGTGGCCCAGAGGTTAAGGCGCCCGCTTTCCATGCACAAGGGTGCGGACTCGAAACCGAGCAAGTACAAATGTGACTTTTTCCGAGTTATATGTACTTTCTATGATTATTTAGACACCACTGACACACGATAAAGGAAAACATCGTGAGGAAACATGGACTTATATCTTCTAATTATAATTTGGAAATCGACAATCCACCTTGAGCAAGAGTGATGGTTAATGCTCAAACCTTCTCCGTGTGAGAAGAGGCCTTTGCTCAGCAGTGGGCACTTATAGGCTAATGATGTGAACAAATTAAAATCACTTACAAATCGTAACATGCTGTATAACTTATCACACCTGCATGTTGGTGGTCGGATTTTTTTTTGTTTTACAATCATAATCTACAGGGTGTTTGTCTTTTTGCATTCCACTTTATAATCTATGGTTACACACTGTATAATTATGTTGATAGCTCTATACTAGTTTAAGAATTCGGTTTCGCCTTGGTTTTTTTCTATTTTATGTCATCTAGGATTAATTTACAAATAATGCGAAACTGTGAAGGATCTATCATCGGACATATACTATAATTATTCGATCATAACGATATTTTTTTATCAAAAAATATTTGTGCGTTTTTGAAATTGGAACTAAGCGTTTAAAAAAAGACGTTTGCATATACAAAATATGGAATTATGGAGATTTTTCGATAAGTATGTGAAACGAGTGTTTTACCTGCCTTTTGGGGATAAGGCTTTCATAGATTTGGGTATTGGGGGAGAGGAAGAAAGATTGGACCTCCGGTAACCTCACTCATAGAGCGAAACACAACGCTGTGGTTGTTTCCCCCGGTTTTGTTGTCAATTTCTCTTGATCATGAAGACACATTTATAATTATTTTTAACAGCGTGTTATAAGTATTTTAAACTATTATTTAATTAAATGATATCGTTATTAAATGATTTCTCTCGCTCAGGGTCGAGCGAGAGGGAGTGTCAGACTCTTACTGACTAAAAACCAGCCCGTTCCTTCTCCTGCTCCGAGCCGAAGCCGTGTACATTATTACAATCTAGAAACGATCTCCGGCCACCTAGAGCGCGGGTCTTCGGACGGCGAGTAAGGGTAGCTCGCCGCCCGACCAGAACCAGACCCGAGCGTACGGCGCGTAGCGTTCCGCGCGCGCCTCAAAGAGCAAATAGACCACTACAGACGGGGCCCTACAGGGCTGATGTTCAACCAGGGTTGCGGGGTAGGAGCAGTGAGGCACCGCGACCTCGGCCTAGATCAGGAGAAGGAACAGGGGGTTTTTAGTCAGTAAGAGCGGGAGAAGTCATTTAATGATTTCCCTTCACATAAAATAATTTTTAACAAAAAAAACCGACTTCAAAACGTAAACTAAAAAGCAAAAAATAAATTTACTTTGTTTAAAGTAATACATATTTTCATTTAGTTAAATATAAAATAATATTTGATAACTATTTTGTAATCTTAAAGTCGGTGCCAAGTAAAAGAATAATAGTGTAAAGATATTACCTACATACCTCTTGCTAGTTTGATGATTAGTAGTATTCAATATATTTTTACTAATACCCTTATTATTTTTACTAATATATAATAAACTACCATGTCAAATTAAAGCACTAAATATAAAACTGTTTAAAAAAAGTTATACCACTGGCTAAATGAGCAAAATTTTTATAGTGTTAAGGAGTTTCTGGAATCTAAAGTTTAAAGATCCTGAACAAGTAAAATTGAATATTTGCATGCTATTTACGATGTAGCTAAAACATGATTGTACTTATTATTATTTCTTGTAACACCTTTATACCATGTTTTAATGCGAATAAATATATTATTATTATTATTGTTTGGTATGTAGTATTTACTTGGCACCGACTTCAAAATTATAAAATAGTTATTAAATATTATTTTATATTTAACTAAATGAATATATGTATTACTTTAAACAAAGTAAATTTATTTTTTGCTTTTTAGTTTACGTTTTGAAGTCGGTTTTTTTTTGTTAAAAATTATTTTATTTCACCATTTTAAGTGATAGGCAGAGAAAGCTAGGATGCTTCTCAAAAGAGAAGACGACGGCTACTTGAGACCGAAAATCACGGTAATGGCAGTCCTGAGTTAGTCCTTTCAGTGCCGTAAATCGTTGAGGAATTCCCTCAAATGTCAATGACCTCCATCATCAGGTATACTGCAGGCCTTCATTATACATAATCTATATAGGTGCAAATTTCTCATCAATATAAATGAATGAAGTCCAAACACATTATAATTACTCCAAATAGTCAAAGAGATCCCACGACGGTCTTCCGGCTCCATCATCACAATTTACTGCATAACTTCATTGTAATCCATAAAGGTGCAAAGTTTTCATCGATATAAATGAACGAAGTCGAAACACGAGGTAGTTACTGTAAGCCGTTCAGGAGTTTCCTGAGCTGTTCTTTTGATCATTATCAGACCCTTAATGACAGTCACGACCAATCTTGGTGCAAAGTGCTCACCAATACGAATCATTCAAGCCTAAACACAAGGCAACTACTCCAAATAATCAAGTAGATCCCTCGGCTGCCTTCCGGATCCATCATCACAATTTACTGCATAACTTCATTGTAATCCATAAAGGTGTAAAGTTTTCATCGATATAAATAAATGAAGTCGAAACACGAGGTAGTTACTGTAAACCGTTCAGGAGTTCCCTGAGCTCTCCATCGTTCTCATCATCAGACCCTTAATGACAGTCACGACCAATCTTGGTGCAAAGTACTCACCAATACGAATCATTCAAGCCCAAACACAAGGCAACTACTCCAAATAGTCAAGGAGATCTCTCGACTGTCTTCCGGCTCCATCATCAGGTCGGGTTCGAACAACGGCAAGTTGTAAATTTGTTAAAAGCCTACTGAAATCATATGCAAAAGCACCACTCGCCCCTACAATTTTTGAAAGTTCCTTTCGATTTCTCTGGTCTTCCATCATCAGATCCTGATTTCCTTTTTATGGGACCATACTGGGACTATCTCCATTCCAATAAAAAAGAATTATGAAATTCGGTCCATAAATAACGGAGATATCGGTGAACAAACATAAAAAAAAAGCATATATATCGATCGAATCGGTATATTGGTCGAATTGAGAACCTCCTCCTTTTTTTGGAAGTCGGTTAAAAAGAGACCTTATGAAAAGATTCCTGACACATAAAACTATTATTGTTAGTGTATAATAATTATTTATTTAAACATCATTACGACCTCTTATTTGAAGGGGACAGCAGTATTTGTTATAACGTTACAAAAAAACTTATTAACTTTGTTCCAATATTTATTTAGTGTGGGTATTGTTGTCAAAGGATTGTTTTACAACGCTGCGTCTTATGTTTGACTCCCAACTCGGACAAATTGTTTATTAGGGTTTATTTTTATATGACGATATGAAATGATGAAGAAAGATTTTTTTTATGTGAATTTGAGCCATGTTTGGGAAGCGGAGAAAGTAGGAGATTCATATTACGGCACGAATGAGTCGGCTCGACTGGAGTGATACGACGGACTTTTTTTATTAGAGTGTTTTGTTGTGAGCTACTCTCGCGCGGTTTCACCCGCTGTCCAGCTCCTACAGATCGTAGCGTAATGTTTTATAGCCTTTAGCACTCAGGAACATTGTAGCTATCTATCAGTGAAAGAATTTTGGAAATCCGACCAGCGGTTCCAAAGATTACCCCCTACATACAAACTAACAAATTTTACCTCTTTATAATATTAGTATAGATTCCCGCCGCAACCTCCCAAAACCATTGCAACTCCTGTGCACCAGGATCTACAGTAGATACAACCATGAAAACACCGGAACACTGAAGTCCGCCGCGTCCCAGGGACATGAATGACTGTCTTGGATCCCGCAACGAAATAAATCAGAAGATATTATTTGAGGAGGAGAAAAAACGAAATAGTTTCCACTTCCCTCGGTAAATTTAATGCAGGAGACAGAATGACTGCAGCCTTAAAGGCACAGAAGAGACTGTACAACTGGGAGAAGCCCAGTCACCAAACACCATGGAAAATTTTATACCACGGCCTCACAGAAAACCGGCGTGAAACAACCACAGCGTTTAAGGTCTCATTTAAGTGTGGGAGAGCCATGCTTCGGCACGAATTGGTCGGCTCGGCCGGAGTGATACCACGGCCTCACAGAAAACCGGCGTGAAACAACCTCAACGTTGTGTTTCGCCGTGTGAGTGAGGTTACCGGAGAATCTTCATCCAATCCTCACCCCCATCCCTAATAGCCAATCCTCGAATCCCCAACCCTTGAAGAGCTGGCGACGCACTTGAATCTGCCTCTGGTGTGACTACTTGACTAGTGTCTATGGGCGGCGCTGATTGCTTACCACCAGGTCCGACTGCTCGTTTACTGATCTATCCAATCTATACTAATATTATAAAGAGGTAAATTTTGTAAGTTTGTATGTAGGGGGTAATCTTTGGAAGCGCTGGTCGGATTGCCAAAATTCTTTCACTGATAGATAGCTACAATGTTCCTGAGTGCTATAGGCTATAAAACATTACGCTACGATTAAATAGAGCCGAGCAGCGGGTGAAACCGCGCGAGAGTAGCTAGTTTGTAATATGACAAGAACCTTAGTCACAGCAACGCGTTGCTGGGTCTGCTTGTAACAAGTATATCTATTTTATTTGGTACCTCTTTTCATCTATCTTGAAGACATATACTTAAGATTAAAAAAATCTTTATTTAAGACTTATCAACACGAATGTTACTTCTCATCAGCACCGACCAGTAATGACAGACGGACTCGGGGCGCGGCTCGATATGTCAAATTGTTTCAGTTACCGGCAAAGATTAAGTTTGTACTGACGGCAGACAGGATAAAAAAAAATACCATCCCGATTCTTCAGGCGGGTGTGACGTATCCATCTAGGTTCCGATTGAGACTTGCAACTCCAGAGAAATTGCTAGTGCGATGGGGTTTTGTGGACTCAAGACCTGGGATCTTTGATTTTTGAATATAGGATCCTGACGCGACCGAGTTGACTAGATCAAGGAGAAAATCAATTCAACAAAATCATCAGCCTATAAGTGCCTACTGCTGAGCAAAGGCTTCTTCTCACACGGAGAAGGTTTTGAGCATTAATCACCACGCTTGCTCAATGCGGATTGGCGATTTCATATTTATAATTAGAAGTTATAAATCCAGTTTTCCTCACGATGTTAACCTTCACCGTATGTCAGTGGTGTCTAAATAATCATAGAAAGTACATGTAACTCGGAAAATGTCACATTGGTACTTGCCAGTTTTTGAGCCTGTATGAGTGCCTTTTTTAAGGAATACTGATGGTAAGCAATCAGCGACACCCATGGACACCTATAACACCAAAGTGTGTTTAAGGGGATTAGCTTTTCGAATATTTAAGGATTGGGGAATGGAAGGATTGGGCCTCCGATAACCCCACTCACATGGCGAAACACAACGCTGTAGTTATTGCACGTCGGATTTCTGTAAAGCCGTTGTGCCACTCCGGTTAAGCCCATTCATACCGAAGCTTGGCTCTTCCACTTTTTTTAAAAGTCAAAATTTACTTGCACATATTTATAAGTAACTTTACCCTCTGTGTGTATAAATAATCTATATTCCCTTTCAAAAGTATCGCTAGCAATTATAATTTGCGAGCGAACCCGTGCGTCCGTCACAGTATGTCGCTCATCCAAGCAATGTTTTTAACAACAACTTGGTATTTTAATGTCCATCGCTCCAATAATGGCACTTACTATGTATATTAGTGTCTTTCTGTCTGTCTGTCTGTCTGTAAGAAGGACCTCTGAGTTTGTTTCGCCATTTCTTCTCAGAGTAGTCAGATAGGAAATGCCGGCGTCATCTAGTTTTTCACATATATGTAAATTGACGTGTAAAAGTGCAGTTTTATGGCCTATTTGCAAAAATAAATTCATTGTTTCATTGTAGTCGGTAGGTAATATATGTTAAATTTTAATTAGTAGATAAAAGTTCTTTTTATGTGACATGCGGATTACCTGATGGTAAGCAATCATCGCCCATGGAGACCCGCAACAACTGAGGAGTGACGAGTGCGTTGTCGACCTTTTGGGGATTATATATTTAGAGATTTTGGAATTGTGTAGGGCTTTGAGGAGGTAGGATTGGGCCTCCGGTTATCTTACTCACACGGCGAAACACAAAGCTGTGGTTGTTTCACGCCGGTTTTCTGTGAGGCCGTGGTACCGTGTGAATGAGGTTACCGGAGGCCCAATTCCTCCCTTCTCTCATCCATCCCCAAACTCCGGAATCCGAAAACACCCAAAAAGCTAGCAACGCACTTGGATTTTTTTCTGGTACTAGCTACTCTCGCGCGGTTTCACCCGCTGCTCGGCTCCATTTGATCGCAGCGTGATGATTTATATCCTATAGCACTCAGGAACATTGTAGCTATCTATCAGTGAAAGAATTTCGGCAATCCGACCAGCGGTTCCAAAGATTACCCCCTACAAACAAACTTACAAACTTTATTTTTTTATTTATTTATATATTCTTTATTGCACACAACATTAAAATTTAACACAAAGAGCAGGCTAACAATCACAGAGTGTACAATGGGCGGTCTTATCACTCACGGTGATTTCTTCCAGACAACCTTTGGATGGAAATTAAAAAGTTAAACTGGAAATGGGCGTGTGTGGCGAGTCTCTACAATGACAGGTAGTACTCCTTAACCATTCTCCTAAACTGACAAACCGACTGAGCACGCCTCACCTCCAACGGTAGGGCATTCCACAATCGAGCCGTTTCAATGGTAAAAGATTTATCAAAGAAAGAGGTCGAATGCAAACGGATGCTCAGCTTAAGGTTCCTCGATGATCTCAAGGACCTCGAATGTGTGTGTCCAAGAAACTGAAAACGTTCTTTCAAGTAGAAAGGGGAAGCAGGATTGAAGAGAATATTATAAAGTAAGGATAGGATATTACTGACTTTACCTCTTTATAATATTAGTATAGAAGTATAGATGACGAGTGTCCATGGGCGGCGCTGATTGCTTACCATCAGGTAATCCGTCTGCTTGTTTGCCGACCATAATGAATCTTCTTTCTCGGTGTCTGAGTGTGTGTCAGACAGCACACAGCTGTAATTACTGCGTGTAGCAAGCTGTGTGACATGTAGTAGGGCTTGGGGTGTAGGGAAGCTCTAAAATCCTTCAAGAAACCCAAGCAAACCTTGGGCGAAAGACTATAGCTTATACAGAACTTAAAAGTTTTTTCTTTCGACAATTTTTTAATTGATTCTCCCGCCAAAAGTTTTGTTCTTACTTAAACGTTGTTATTGAAAAATCGACTTTAGACAAAGGATGTACGATTTGAAATCGATTGCGGAGTGTATTAAGAAAAATGGCGTCAGATATTTGTTTTTTGATAAACGAAATTGTACTCTGTGTTAATAGAAATAAGGTTGCATTTTCTTAAAATGTTCATGGACGCAATATGAGCCAAGTTGTTGAGTCGGCCATGTTGGAAAATTACAAAAATCGTTTCATTTTTCACCGCCTAATTGTGTTCCTGGGATCAATTTTTCGTCTTTTAAAACCTTTTTTTTATTTCTTAATGGTTACATAAGTAAGCAACATACAGTACACGTATTTGTTTTATAGGCAACGGCAAGCAAGAACACGTTTCCCCACCGTCACTCTTCACGCGGGTGTTACATACCCAATGGGGTTACATTACGTTTTGAACCAGCAATCCTCTTCTACATGCCCTACATGCAAGAAGAATTACGTTGTTGACTAATATTTTGTACCTTTTTTTGTGAGGGGAAAATCATCAATCAGGTGTGGGAGAGCCATGCTTCGGCACGAATGGGTCGGCTCGACTGGAGTGATACCACGGCCTCACAGAATACCGGTGTGAAACAATCACAGCCTTGTGTTTCGCCGTGTGAGTGAGGTTATCAGAGGCCCAATCCCTTTCCTTCCCCCCATCCCTTCCCAGTCCATAAATATCTGAAACCCTTATCCCTAAAAGGTCGACAACGCACTCGTAACTCCTCTGTTGTTGCGGGAGTCCATGGGTGGCACTGATTGCTTACCATCAGGTAATCCGTCTGCTCGTTATCCGACCTATATGTAGCATAGGCATAGGTACTATGAAAAAAAAAGACAAAACGCTAGGCAGAAATGTTTTCGACCTCGCATTTTGACTTTGACTTTGACTTTGATGATCAAACGGCTTCTATTTCTTCCTATGAAGTCATCTCCTGACCTGTCATCTTTTCTCTGCAGTAAGCCGTTGAATAAACAGACCCATGTTGCTTAGACTGGCGAGTGAAACGGACATTCGATTTAGATTCAGGTGTTTATAATAACTATCGTGAGACATACCTACAAAATTAACTATAAATCGCGGGTAACTCACGTGTATAAATTTAAAAAAGCTCTACTAGTTTCGAACCACGGAGGGGTTCTTCCTCAGGAGCAGCGTGCGCTGACGCGGCGACGACAACTTATACACCTGAGTAACTCGCGATTTTTAGGTAATTTAGACACAGGTTGTTAGTTAGTTAGGTTAAGACAGAGAAGTATCAAGCTAACAGAAAGGCGGCGTAAAGCAATTGTTGCGTTGTGTTTAGTCGTGTGAATGAGGTTACCGGAGGGCCAATCCTTCCCCGGGCCAAATTTTTGTTCTCTAACGAAGTTTTCATTTGAATTTTGCTTCTGTGTCGTGTGCGTTTACAAATATACAATTCAACATACACATCACATCGTCATGCCTCTGATCATACCTATCCGAAACCCCTTATCCCCAAAAGTGCGCCGCCCAAGTATACTCTAATCGCAACACAAGTGTGTGACGTTACACTTATAAGTGCGGTACCAACCTATTGAAATTTTGAGATTTGAGAATTGAGGATTTTGGGATTAAGGATTGGACCTCACGTCGAAACATTATGCTGTGGTTTTTTTACGCCGATTTTCTCTGAGGCTGTCGTATCACTCCAGTCGATTTTGATCATTTATACCGAAGCACGATTCTCTTCCACTAAACCCCGGTTTCTGAAAGACTTGTCAACGCTAAAATTAACTAATCTCCTGGTAAATCTCTTGTCAAGTCATCTGATTGGTTATTGAAATTCAGGCAACCAATCAGATGACTTGACAAGAGTTTATATTGATTTTAACAATGATCGGCCTTTCGGGAACTGGGTGTAAGTCTAAAATGCAAGATGAAAACTATATTTAAACTAAGTACTAAAACTTAAATTACGTAAATAGGTATCTAAATAATACAAGTCTAAGTATATGGTATTTCATAATCATTAAATTTCGTATTAAAATATTTATCCAAATAAAAACACTATCAATTAAAAAAAATACATACGTAGTATTCATTTCATTAATTTTCATTGTTGAATCAAATCAAAACGTCCACTGAACTCGCCAGTGACAGATTTAAAAACATGGCGCGCTCAACAATACGCGCCAAATGAGCGGCCATCTTGAAAAAAAAACTTACGTAGTCTATTCTCCGTGTCCTTTGAATTGTGGTAAGTAAATAATCATTAGATATAATATTTACTTAGTACGTTGATCATACAACTGCCGTGGGTTTGATATCCGGGTTGGGCGATGTGTCATTAGTATTTTTTGGGCTTGTGAACAGCGACTGTCGTTTCTGTACGAGGTAGGAAGAGAAAAAAAGTGTTATGTTTTTGTTTTATGTGATAGGTCGGCAAACGAGCTGAAGGATTACCTGACGGTAAGCAATCAGCGCCGCCCATGGACACCCGCAACGACGGAGGAGTTAGTGCGTTGTCGACCTTTTGGGCATTAGGGATTTGGAGATTTTGGGAAAGGGAACGGATTGGGGTAGGGGAAGGATTGGCCTCACTCGGCGAAACACAACTCTCTGGTTATTTCACGCCGGTTTTCTGTGAGGCCGTGGTATCACTCCGGTCGAGCCGACCCATTCGTGCAAAAGCATGGCTCTCCCACACTTACTTTATGTGATAGGTCGGCAAACGAGCTGAAGGGTTACCTGGCGGTAAGCAATCAGCGCCGCCCATCGACACTTGTAGTAACAAAGGAGTTACTACAAGTGCGTTGCCGACCTTTTGTGGGCTATTAGGGATTTAAGTATAGGGGATTTGAGGATTGAGAATAGGGAGGGGAGGATTAGATAGATTGTGTGAAGATTTTTATCTATACTATCTGGAACTCGAGAAAGGATGTAGGATAGCTTTTGTACCAAACATCTAAAATAATAAATCATTGATTGCCTACAAATCATCATCAGCCTATAAGTGTCCACTGCTGAGCAAAGGCCTCTTCTCACACGGAGACGGTTTTAGCATTAACCACCACGCTTGCACAAGGCAGACACTTATAATTAGAAATTATAAGTTCAGGTTTCCTCACGATGTTTACCTTCACCGTAAATCAGTGGTGTCTAAATAATCATAGAAAGTACTTACATATAACTCGGAAAAAGTCACATTGCTACTTGCCAGGTTTTGAATCCGCACCCTATATTGTAATAACAAAATGTATTCTTTTTTTCTTCGCTGTTCACACATTGTGAATGGACAGCCATTTTGAAAAGAGTACCCTATTCAATTGATTGAAAATTTGAAAGAATCGTATCCGGGTTACAAGCTTAGTCATAAATCTAGTTAGTCACATTTCGTTGTGACTGTTTCGTAGAAAGAGCTACGATTTAAGAAGCTAATAATTATTTATAGCTTTGGGTAGGTTTAATTAAGTTTTTATTAATTTATTTAATTATTTATGCACATCACACATACAGTAAATAGAGAACAAATACAGAGACAGAGGTACATAGGTACTGCATATTCCTATATGGAATCTCTTCCTGCAGTCCTTCGAAAGGAAAAATGTAAGAGACATAAGACACTGTGTGATAAACTAAAACAACAGAAAAAGAGATTTTTTTTATGTGATAGGACGACAAACTAGTGTACGGGTTATTTGAAAGTAAGCATTGCAACCATGGACAGTGGAGGAGTTACGAATGCGTTGCTGACCTTTCGGGGATTGGGGATTGGGGGAGGTGAAAGATTGGGCCTCCAGTTTTTTTTTTATCATAATAGGTCGGCAAACGAGCAGACGGATTACCTGATGGTAAGTAATAATAAAATAAGTAAGAGTTACGAGTGCGTTACCGAACTTTTAGGGATTAGGGATTTGGAGATTTAGGGATTAAGGAGGGGAAGGATTGGGCCTCCGGTAACCTTGCTCACAAAGCGAAACACAACGCTGTGGGAGCCGGTTGTTCCCCGCCGGTTTTCTGTGAGGCCGTGGTATAGCCAGCACAGGACAGCACAGCACAGTTGTGATGATACTTAGCTAGCAGCTAAGTAGTATAAAACACAATCGCTTTCTCTGTCCCTATATCCCTATGTACGCTTAAATCTTTAAAACTACGCAACGGATTTTGATGCGGTTTTTTAATACATAGAAAGATTGAAGAGGCAGATTTATATGTATGTATAATTACTTTGTGGAATGTCGTGGAATAATTACTTACTGCAGATTTTTGATATAAAAACTATCCTATGTCCTTTCTCGAGTTCCAAACTATGTCTGTTCCAAATTTTACAGAAATCAATTTAGTAGTTTAGGCTTGAAGAAAAGACTGACAAACAGACAGAGTAAGAGTAACTTTCGTATTTGTAATATTAGTTTGGAGAAAGAAAGAGAAGAAGAGAAATAGCTTCACTAGAAGACAGACAGACAGACTGACACGCCTAAAGTTAAAGCTCTTCAAATACTTTTTTCCTTTTTTTGCTTGGCGTTCAAAAGTGCCTACTGTGGTCTAATTGAAATAAATGATTTTGACTTTGACTTTGATAACAACCATAAAATAGTAGAAAAATTTAGTATCAATATTGTACGAGCGGGCGGGTCGCTAAAATAGTATAGCTATAGCTATCAATACTTTTCATTCTCAACTCAACAAAGAAAGGAATGTCACAAGGGAGGCAGGAAATCGCAAAATAGTTTTTTGTCAATACCGAGACAGGCTTTTGTCGAAGACCCCTTTGTCAAAGTGCCGATACGATCAGAATATTTATTGCCAAACCTAGGCCGTGGATTTTGAATAGATTCTCCATTTTAATTAAGCAAAGGTTTTTTTTTGTGACGGGAAAATCATCAAGTGTTGAAGAGCCATGCTTCGGCACGAATGGTCGAGCCGACCGGAGTGATACCACGGCCTCACAGAAAACCGGCGTGAAATAACCACAGCGTTGTGTTTCGTCGTGTGAGTGAGGTTACCGGAGGCCCAATCCTTCCTTTCCCCCAATCCCTTCTCAATCCCTAAATCTCCAAATCCCTAAAAGGTCGGCAACGCACTCATAACTCCTCCGTTGCGAGTGTCCATGTCCGTCGGCTCGTTTGCCGACCTATTACATAAAAAAAAAAATCAAATGACTTCTCCCGTCCAGAGCCAGGCGAGAAGGAGAGTCAGACTCTGACTGCCTAAAACCCCCCCGTTTCTTCTCCTGCTTTGGACCGAGGTCGCGGTGCCTCATTGCGCTTACCCCGCAACCCCGGCTGAAGTTAAGCAAAAGGTGAGGTGTTGAGTTTAGTCTTGTGTAAGAGAGCCATGCTTCGGCTCGACCGGAGTGATACCACGGCCTTATAGAGAACTGGCGTGCAACAACCGAAGCTTTATGTTTCGACGAGTGAGTGAGATTGCCGGAGGCCCAATCCTTCCACTCCCACAATCCCTAAATCCCCAAAAGGTTGGTAATGTAACTGCGACGTAGTTGTGGGTTTCCCTGTCCGGCGCTGTTTGCTTACCATCAGGTAATCCGTCTGCTCGTTTGTCGACCTATTACATAAAAAAACCTAGCAAATATAGTATAAAAAGAATTATCGCAGCCGGCGTAGCCTTTTACTTCAAGGGAATGCCATGGCATGACCAAGGAAAGGGATTAATTTTTCTGTACTTTGTAGGTTAACCACCCGTACCCTTAGGCTTATTTGAGTGTTTCAATTCGCCAGATTAAGTCTTACTTTTTTTTTATGTAATTGGTCGGCAAACTAGCAGACGGATTACCTGATGGTAAGCAATTAGCGCCGCCCATGGACACCCGCAACGGAGGAGTTACGAGTGCGTTGCCGACCTTTTTGGGGATTAGGGATTTGGAGATTTAGGGATTGAGGAGGGATTGGGGGGGGGGGGGAGAATTGGGCCTCCGGTAACCTCACTCACACGGCGAAACACAACGCTGTGGTTGTTTTTCGTCGGTCTTCTGTGAGGCCGTGGTATCACTCCGGTCGAGCCGACCCATTCGTTCCGAAGCATGGCTCTCCCACAGTTAAATTACTGATGGATTTATCGATGTGTGGTCTGCTGCGGCAGCTGATGCGTGAGGAGGATAGCTTCCTGACATGCTCGGCCTCCTTCCTTGCAAGCTTCTTTCTTACCAAGTCCTCGACTAAGGCCGGGTGCGAGAGGTCGCCGCAGCCAATCAGTTCCCTGAGGACACGGCGGTGCTCAGCACAAGCAGGGCATACCGCCACCATATGCTCCCGCGTGTCCCCTGGGTGGTCCTCACAATGACGACTCTCGGGAGTTTCATCCGGCCGGATCCGATACAGGAACCTACCTGCGTCAGCCTCAATTAGCGGTAATATCGGATAAGTACAAATGTAATTACACAATTTTTTTTTTTAAACCATAACTTTAACTTAAGTCTATAACTTACAGAAAATGTACAACAACCAGTTTTTTTAAATGTAAATTTGACGCTTTCTGACTTTTCTCGACAGTTTCCAACTAGTCAAATCAATATTTTTATTTGAAATCATTCAAATAATATACTTTTCGATAAGTTTGACATGAATTTCGAAGAAATCGCAACATATTTGGTCAAAAAAACCTTTAAAAAATAAAATATTAATAAAGATCGAAAGCACAATCCTTCCCGTCCCCCTATCCGTAATTCTTAAATGTTGCAATCATAATCCCCAAAGGGCCGGCAACGCATTTGTAACTTCTCTGGCGCCGATTAGTAACCATCGGGTAGTCCTTCCAGTATTACCTTCGGAGCCCCAACCCTTCCCGTCCCACAATCCCTAAATCACGAAAACCCTAATCCCTAAAAGGTCGGTAGCGTAACTACTACATAGTTGCGGGTGTCCCTGTCCGGCGCTGTTTGCTTACCATCAGGTAATCCGTCTGCTCGTTTGCCGACTAATCACATTAAAAAAGATTATGTATCGAATCAATGAATCAAACTATAATATAAAGTAATATTTTAACAAATAATTCTATTTTTGTAACAGTATTGCTTTAAATTGTATCGCTATGAATGCTCTTCCTATCAGATCTGACGAGTGACGCCGCATCACAAACTCTGTTTTGCTAAAACATCTTTGATCTGTCAAAATCATTTAGCGACCAACATATCCAATCGTGACCAAATTGTAGTCACAAAAACTGCCTGCAGGGGGCTCTGCACATAATAATTAGTAAGATCATACACTGCGGAGTAAAATGGACATCTACGTTACATGAACTTTTTTTGTGAGGTCAAAATCATCAAATATCTTCTCCTGCCAAGGGTGGGGCGGGAAGGAGTGTCAGACTCTTAGTGACTAAAAACCCCCCTGTTCCTTCTCCTGGTCTAGGCGAGTTATCCTAACTCGCCGTCCGCAGACCAGCACTTACGTGGCCGGAGATCTCTCAATCTCTCGATCCTCGATGCCCGGAGTGTTGCCTACTGCGGCGACTAGGGCGTGACGCGCTCTCCGCCTCCTTCTTCACGAACAGAAAGAAGCTTCTACGTTCCTCTCGCTCCGTACCATGGCCTCGACTAAGGCTGGTCGTCGCCACCGATCACTTCCCTGAGGACACGGCGGTGCTCACCCCAAGCAGGGCACACCGCCACCCTATGTTCCACCGTATCCTCTTGGTAGTACACTACATGAGCTGCAGTTTACATGTGAACATTAGCTCATGACGATACCTAAGTACGTGTGTCGCCTGGACAGTCAACCTCGCTACATCCTTGTTGACTGGACATCTACACTACATGAGCTGCTGTTTACATGTGAACATTAGCTCATGACGATACCTAAGTACGTGTGTCGCCTGGACAGTCAACCTCGCTACACGACATGTCCCAAAAACTCGCCAGTCGACATGACATTATCCACCATTTTGGCTTCTGAATTTTTAATTACAACGTTTTTTCCCGCGCTCGCCTCTCATTGGTCGAGACGATACGATGACAACAACGCGGTTTTTTATGCGCAGACGCACTCAAATGTTCTTAGAAGTTAATTAACTAAATAAATAATTTTTAAAATGGTGCTCGCTTTTATTCCGCTAATGATTTGAGAAAATTGTTTGAATACAGACAGTATTTGATCTATGGGTATTATAAGAATGATGGGCATGTGGTCCGGGGTCCATTTTCTGGTTGTCGAAAATTGTGTCTTGGAAATGTTTTCTCGTAAGTAAATTGTTGGCAGGTATCTATAACTGTTCCACTAAATGGCTTTCTTGACTGTAGACGTGTAGATCCTTGCTTGTATTCTTTTTTTTATGTAATAGTTCGGTAAACGAGCAGACGGATTACCTGATGGTAAGCAATCAGCGCTGCCCGTGGACACCCGCAACGGAGGAGTTACGAGTGCGTTGCCGACCTTTTTAGGGATTAGGGATTTGGAGACTCAGGGATTGAGGAGGGATTGGGGGAGGGGAAAGATTGGGCCTCCTGTAACCTCACGCACACGGCGTAACACAACGCTGTGGTTGTATCACGCCGGTATTCTCTGAGGCCGTGGTATCACTCCGGTCGAGCCGACCCATTCGTGCCGAAGCATGGCTCTACCACACTTATGGGATATGGATGCAATTCGAGTTTTTCTTGACTTTAAAGTACAAGTCATCTCTTGACTGGCGCAGCAGTCGTTCTTGACACAATTTAAGTACCGAGGTAGATAGTCAATATCATGATAAAGTCTCACATTCTTATGGGTAAGGTCTGCAAACGAGCAGACTGGTAACAGCAGCAGCAGACTTGTAAGTGTGGGAGAGCCATGCTTTGCCACGAATGGGTCGGCTCAACCGGAGTGATACTACGGCCTCACAGAAGACCGGCGTGAAACAACCACAGCGTTGTGTTTCGCCGTGTGAGTGAGGTTAAAGGAAGCCCAATCCTTCCCCGCCCCCAATCCGTCTCAATCCCTAAATCTCCAAATCCCTAATCCCTAAAAGGACGGCAACGCACTCGTAACTCTTCCGTTGCGGGTGTCCATGGGCGGCGCTGATTGCGACGACCTATTACATAAAAAAACCTGATGTTAAGCAATCGGCGCCGCCCTTGGACTCCCGCGACATCAGACGAGTTACTATAAGTACATAGATGTTGGTTTTTAGTGTAAGCCCAGTTATGAACCGCGGCCTCGGCCTTAGGATAGGGAACGGGATGGCTTTTAGTCAGTAAGAATCTGATAGTTTTTCTCGCCCCACTCACGGCGAGAGAACTCATTTGACAATAATATATACCTATAAGAGATTGACGACTGAGATTTTAAGCGTCCAGTAACCGCGCTCATACGGGAAGACATGGCAAGCGTTGCTGTACGCCGGTTTTCTACGGTGCAGTGGTATCATTCCCGTGGAGCCGGCCTGTTTGTACCTACCGAAGCATCGGCGTCCTCACCTTCCGCCTGACGCAGGTGCTTACCACCCGACTGTCGTCATTTTGAGGACCACCCAGGGGATACGCTGGAGCATATGGTGGCGGTGTGCCCTGCTTCGGCTGAGTCGCAGTCCCGATTGCGTTATAATTTTTTTGTATTTTAACATATGTAAATATAAAACTCTCACCTGTCCGCTATATAAGACAATATAGAACAGTGTTTTGCTTATAAATACCCTATTATTAAACTTTCAAATACAGTAAGTAGCGACATCTATGAATTTCAGGACGCATTAACAGCAACTACAACTTAAAAACTTGAAGCTATGACTTGTTAGTATCATCGATCGAAACTAGATGGCAGCACATGCACCCAAAATGAAATAACAAGAAAAAGTTGTACAATATTATAATTAGTAAAATAAATAACACAATCTAGAATATTATGCCAAAAAGGATATTAAAAAATAACATGAAAAGTATACAAATTATTAAAAAGAACAAGAAACTGATGACGTAAGTTGTTATACGAAAAACGTTTTGTTTTTTCATTCCTTTCTCTGTCGTGTTTAGATCATCTTTTACAATATATTTTCGTAGACCAACACACCACAGAACAATAAGATCTGTCCACTCTAAATCCGAGACGTCGCAGTGATAAATAATTTTGTCGGAATTAGATAAATCCTGAAATAGTTGTAGGGTGTTCCTGTCGTTAAAAATCCATCCGTGGTTGGAATAGAAGGCTATGGTTGACGCCATTTTGGTTACAGTTGAATATATCTTCTTCAATCTGTAAATATAAAATATGAAACAATTTATTATATTATTATATATTATATTATATACTTGAACACACTAGCAGCTTAGAAAGCTCATGCGTGCGTATTAATGGATTTGGAGATTTTGTCGAGTCTGTTTTTAAAAGAATTAACTGTGGGTGCTTTAATCACATTTTCTGGGAGTTTATTCCATTCCGTGACCACCCTATTAGGTAGGAAGTGTGTCAAGGTATTCAGTTTTGAGGATGTTCTGCATAGTTTTAATGAGTGTCCTCTCAAATTTAGTTATAACTACATACTAAAAAACAAATTCGCTTTTCATTCTCGTAATTTTTTTAAAGAATCTTTTGGTTTGGTCAACTAGCTTTCTGATCACATAATGGTTCACAATAAGCCTGATACGGACAAACCCCTTGCAGAAAATCTGTGAGTATACTGTATATACTTTACTTACGTAGGTAGCATAATACTGAGAGTGTTAGTCCATCTTGGAAGGACTCATTCAAGGAGATGAGGGATTGCAACTTAGCACAAGAGAAGTTAAGGGAAAGTATGCGGAGCGTGTGAGAGAACTATCCTTCTCATATCCGCAGGCATCGCGGATCGAGCGATGATCTCCGGTCACCGTAAGCGCGGGTCTGCGGACGACGAACAAGAGTAGCTTGCCGTCTGAACCACACCCGAGTATTCCGTTCGCATCTTAAGCAACCAATAGACCACCACAGATAGCTAGATGGCTAACTGTGGTTCGGTAAGAAGCAGGACCAGGAACGAGGTGTATTTAGTCAGTAAGATTCTGTCAGTTCCTCTCACTCCACGCAGGGAGGAATCACCTAACGATTATCACTACTCAAACAACACATACCTGGGCGGTTTCTTCATCAGCACGCAGAGACCATCAACCAGGTTAGCAGGAATGGTGTGAAGGAGGAAGCTGACCAGCTGATGCAGCCTTAAGTATGGAGACTGGACTACGAAGCAGTACCAAATAGCGTGGGGAGATACTATGGTCCTCCTTGCGACGTTGTTCAGGATATTGGTGAGGCCACCTGAAAGAATCCATGATTAGTTTCTGAGTTGATGTTAAGCAGTGCGTTAGTTAGAAGTCGTGGTGGCCCGGAGGTTAAGGAGCCCGCTTCTCATGCATGAGGGTGTGTGTTCCAAACCTGAAAAGTACCATTGTGACTTTTTCCGAGTTATATACTATACTTTCTATGATTATTTAGACACCGCTGACAAACGGTGAAGGTAAACATCGTGAGGAAACCTGGACTTATAATTTCTAACTATAAGTTTGAAATCGCCAACCCGCATTGAGCAAGCGTGGCAATTAATGCTCAAACCTTCTCCGTGTGAGAAGAGGCCTTTGCTCAGCAGTGGATACTCATGGCCTGATGATGATGATGATGAAGCAGTGCGTTGGTGATTGCCGTCGTCATCAGCCTGTAGGTGCCCTTCAGCCAGGTTGCAAGATAAATGCAATAACGTGCCCGGCCTAAGCAGGAAAACGGATGCATTGGTTTCAATCAATTGAGTGCACGGTTGCTGCAGTGGCTGGGCAACTGGCTGCAACAACACTTTTCTGTGTGATCCTCATATTGTTGTTCCGGGTTTGGCTGTGATGTGTATGTGAATTTGTATGTTTGTATTTTTTACCTCCGAAAACCGCTGCAACTCCTGTGCACCAGGATCTACAGTAGATACAACCATGAAAACACCAGAACACTGAATTCCGGCGCGTCCCAGGGACATGAACGACTGTCTTGGATCCCGCAACGAAATAAATCAGAAGATATTATTTGAGGAGAAGAAAAAACGAAACAGTTTCCACTTCCCCCGGTCATACAATATACCCACGACACAGGAGAAAATCCTTATAAGGGGCAACGTTTTTTTTTTTAAATGAAAAGAACAAGTAATTATCTGACACTCTCTCTCGCCCCATCCGGGGCGTGAAAAGTCATTGGACGGTTTTCCCCCCTCAAAAAAGATGTTACTGTTGAGCAAAAGCTTCTCCGCAGACGGAGAAAATTTTAAATTGACCTGACTAAGACTAAATATTGCAGCTTAGAAGGTTCAGGGTTATCAGATTTCTGCTGCCCGGTCTCCGACTTCTGTGGTCTTTTAGTCGAGCTAATGACACGGGAAGACCAGGACCTGACTCTGCCAATTAATTACCCCAAGTCAAATGATTCCTCTTGCTAGTAGCGACGTGGTATATCTTGGTGACGTTGTTGGATGATGCTGCAGCGATGATAGCTGTGTTGTTCACATAGTCTACTGGTACGAAGTCGATTCTGATGTCCTGGACTGATTGGAGGGAGTGGATTACACCCATCATACAGCCGAGGGTGATCTGGAAGAAGATTTTGTTTTTATGGGTTAGGTTGGCAAACGAGCATACAGATTTCCTGATGGTAAGCAATTGACGCCGCTCATGCACACTTGTAACACCAAAGATTTCGGAGATTAAGAGACTGGGGAGGCTTTGGGGGTATTTCTTGAATGACGGCGATCGTTCCTTCTACAATACTTTCAGGAATCCCAACGGTTTACCGAGAAAAATAGTCAGTATATCTTTTTTTAAAGTAGGTACCATAAAAAAATATACCGACTGTTTTTCTATCTATTATGCTTATCTTTCTTGGCTTGATATGGCTTTAAGGATCTAAATGAAATTTTTGATTTAAGCGTATTAACCTTATACGGTTTTTGGAAATATCTGGAAAATCGTAAAACAATGAGTGTATTAAAATTTCTATAATAAATTTAACTCATTTTAGTTTGTCAATTTTGCTTACCCCACTTGGTCCAAAAACACTGCTGAGATCAATCCATCCTGCATAGGGTTCTCTTCTCGCACATACCACTGTGACAGAAAAGAAAAATATTATAAACTATTATGACTATAGGACTTTCGACAAATCCTCTGTCAGCGCTCCACCACCTTTCCTTAGCAGAGAGAAGAATACATTTTTGATTCCCTATTCTTCCGACAGAGGAATTGAATGTTTAGATGATGCGGTGGCTGGGCAAGTGGCTGTCGTGCAACAACTCTTTGTGTGATCCACAAATTGTTGTTCCGGGTCTGAGTGTTATGTGTATGTGACATTGTATGTTTGTAAAGGTTTGTAAACGCACCCTCGACCGAGGAGAAAATCCTAGAGATGGCAAAGGCTTTTTTTTTAAACATAAGAATAGAAAAGATGAATATTTGTGTGATCCTATACTCTTCCCCCGAGCAGAGTAATTGTGTAGAAGTAGAAAATTTGGGCACCTCTGGTTAACCTAAAACCTTTCGCCAAGATTACATATTATGGAATACCATTCTTGAAGGTAGGCCTATAAGTCCAGCGCTTCCCTACACGAAAAGCACTACTGCATGTCACACAGCTTGGTACACGCAGCAGTTACAGCTGTGTGCTGTCTGTCACACACTCAGTCACCGGGAACGGGAGATTTCCAAAGAATTTCTCTTGCTTGAGGACTTACCGACAGCTGGTCTGATCACAGAAACCGGTAAGTCTTTGGAGTTCATCCTTAGTAATTCTTCTGCCAGCGCCTTCGTGAACGAATAGGTATTCGGCCAGTCTCTGATGAGCCTGAAATAAATTTTCACATTTTTATCACATCATCAGCTTATACTACAGATGGCCTTACAGTGGCGATGTTGTCTGATACTCCCTCTTGCTTCAGCTTGAACGTGAGAAGTCAATGAATGATTTTCCCTTCACAGAAAAAGCTATTAAGTGCCCACTGAGCAAAGGCCTCATCCCACACGAAGAAGGTCTGAGCATTAACCACCACGCTTGTTCGATCAAGAAAATAAAAATATTGCATGAGTAGCAAGGCTCGACTGGAGTGATGCCACGGACTTACAGAATCTCTACAGCATTGTGTTTTGTCGTGTGGTTGAGGTTACAGGTGGCACAATCCTTTCCAAATCCCAAATGCTATAATGCTAACCCTTAATCCTCAAATCCGTAACATTCCACAAAAGACAGTAACATGAACAATATATACTCCTTTAAGACTAAGGAACTTACTCATCCTTAATCCGATTGAGCCGGTCCTCCTCCAAAGATTCAGCCAGGTCAATCATCAGTTCTGGTGGCATTGGACTGGTGTAGAACTCCTCCATGATCTCTGTGCCTCCTCTGCTGAAGGTAGCGTGAGAATACGCTGTCGACATGTAGACGAATGATCTGGAGAATATAGGGAATTTACGTTACTTATATAGTTTTTAGGGCGAGCAAGGTAGCTCACTGCTGGACCAGAACCAGAACCTTCAAAGAGCCAATAGACCATCAGAGACGAGACCCTACAGGGAAGATGATCAGCCGGGGTTTCGGGGCAAGCGCAATAAGATACCTAGCGCAGGAGAAGGAACAGGGGTGTTAACGCACACAGCGTGATTCATCGCTGGCGCACCAAGCTCGCACGGAGGGGGCCGCGTCACCGAGGAGGGGGGGGGGGACAACTGCCAGTAGCAGTGACCCGCACCGCTCAACTGAACTCCATCTTCGGACACAGCCGACCACGCGCGCGCATTCTCCATTTTAGTTTACCAACATTATACTGCTCATCGAACCAATATAATTATGTTATAAGTGTTTACAGTCCACTTAATTTAAATCACCCTTAGTTAGGTCCTTAACAGGGGGCAGTCAGAAATAGTCTGACACTCCCTCTCGCCTTACTGCCTGGCTAGGCCACTTAGCAAGTCGACTGTCCAACTTGTGGGTGGATGTCCTACACAGTGCTTGGCAGTATGTGACCTTTTTCCGAGAGACTTGTTATTAGAGGCTCAATTCTTCGTCCCTTCCCGTCCCCAAACTTCATGTCCCAGGTTCTTAAAAATGCAAAAGGCAAAAGGATCGCAACACACGGCGCCGATTGCTTGCCATTAGGTGATTCTCATGTTGTGGAGTCCCATTTGATTACGAGTGGGACAGACTGGATCTTAGTGATACCACGGCCTCGCAGAAAACCGGCGTGAAATAACCAAAGAGTTGTGTTTCGCCGTTTGATTGAGGTTACCGGAGGCTCAATCCTTACCCTACCCAATCTGTTCCTTGTCCCAAAATCTCCAAATCCCTAATCCCCAAAAGGTCGACAACGCACTCGTAACTCCTCCGTCGTTGCGGGTGTCTATGGGTGACGCTGATTGCTTACCATCAGGTAATTGGTTTGTTCGTTTGCCCACCAATCACAAAAAAAACTCATCCAAGTTCCACGTGGAAATGGGATACCAAGATGGTCAGTCTTCTTCGTTTCGCGCAGAGGGAGGAGGTTTTTACCTTCGTGTCTTTTAACTTGAAGACTTTTTTTTTGTGAGGGGAAAATCATCAAATGACTTCTCCCGCCCAGGGCCGGGCAGGAGGGAGTGTCAGACTCTTACTGACTAAAAACCCCCCTGTTCCTTCTCCTGCTCTGTGCCGAGGTCGCGGTACCTCATTGCGCTTACCCCGCAACCCCGGCTGAACATCAGCCCTTTAGGGCCCCGTCTGTGGTGGTCGAATGGCTCTTTGAGGCGCACGCGGAACGCTACGCGCCGTACGCTCGGGCCTGGTTCTGGTCGGGCGGCGAGCTGCCCTTACTCGCCGACTGCAGGCCCGTGCTTACGGTGGCCGGAGATCGTCCCTCGATCCCCGACGCCCGTAGTGTCGCAAGTTGCGGCTGCTGGGGCGTGAGGAGGAGCATTGCTCCCTCACGCGGGCCGCCTTTCTCTTTGCGAGAACTTGAAGACTTACCTCAATCGTTCGCAATGTTTGGCCAAAGTTATAATTTCCTTGGTACCTCTAACGTTGATAAGAGTGGCTGATCGGAGCGGTTCTTGGAATGATATGGTAGCGGCCACGTGGAATATTATGTCTACCTGGAAAATAAACAAAAGATGTCAGAATTATCAAGTTTAAAATTGGCAATCCGACTTGAGATTTAAGTGTGGGAGAGCCATGCTTTGGCACGAATGGGTCGGCTCGACCGGAGTGATACCACGGCCTCACAGAAAACCGGCGTGAAATAACCACAGCGTTGTGTTCCGCCGTGTGAGTGAGGTTACCGGAGGCCCAATCCTTCCCCTCCCCTAATCCCTCCTCAATTCCTAAATCTCCAAATCCCTAATCCCTAAAAGGTCGGCAACGCACTCGTAACTACTCCGTTGCGAGTGTCCATGGGCGGCGGTGATTGCTTACCATCAGGTAATCCATCTGCTCGTTTGCCGATCGTTTACATAAAAAAAAGAACCGTGATGGTTTATCTTCAGTCTTGACTTTAGACTACTTGAACAACTGTCCCAAAAACCAATTTCGACAATTTTAGTTAACAATTTGGAGCTGTAAGTACCTACTTTTCTAGTTACTGACTATTCCTAAGGATATCAGAGAAGCGAAGCCGGTCTCATGCAGGTCAGATGCTGGTCAAAAATTCGATTGCCACACAGAAAAACTTTTTGGTTGATCTACAAATTGTTGTTCCAGGTCTGGATGTCATGTTTATGTGAAATCGTAGGTTTGGAAAAGGACCCTCGACACAGGAGAAAAGCCCACCCTGGAGCACCATAAAAAAGCTGTTAAGTTACCTCTTTAATTATAATTCTTCTGTCAGTCTCACTGATGCCAAGATTCTTTTCGGCCAATTCTCCTATTATGGGAATTATTCTTTGTACAAAATCCGGTTTCTCTTCTCGAAGAATGTCGTAAATCTGAAATAATGAATGACATCTTAGTTAGATACTAAATATTATAAATGTGACAGCTTGTGCGAATGTATGTATGTTTGTTTTTCTTTCACTCAAAAACGGATGGACCGATTTGGTTGAAATTTGGTTAGTGATGCTCTTTTTCGTGTTCGGGGCAAATTATGAAATGACTTCATAAGACAAATGTGTTTATAGCGATCACATTAATAATATTACATTCCTTATGTAATACTAGCTTTTGCCCGCGACTTTGTTCGCGTAGAATAGTGACTTCCTGCTGATGTTTGGTTAAAAAACTATCCTGTGTTCTTTTTCGAGTTCCAAACTATGTCTGTACCAAATTTAACAGAAAACGGTTCAATAGTTTAGGCGTCAAGAAAAGACAGATAGACAGACAGACAGACATACAGAGGATTACTTTTGCATTTAAATATTAGTTTCGATTTCAAAATACCTATATTTTTTGGAATTTTGTGACGCTTGTTTTGTATACTACACTTCTCGTAGACTGGTAGAGAATGTCTTTCGGCATTAAGTCTGCCTTTGCGTGTATAACATATAGTGTAAAATAAATAAATAAATATGAAGAAAACTTACAGGGTCCTGTAAGATTTCATGAATTCTTTCTTCAACTGATTTTCCCTTCTTAGGTCTCATTAGTACGTATACAGTTTTCAGCTTACACGTCCTGAAATATATTATTTTTTGTTTTATTGTGTGGGAGAGCCATGCTTCAGCACGAATGGGTCGGCTCGACCGGAGTGATACCACGGCCTCACAGAAAACCGGCGTGAAACAATCACAGCGTTGTGTTTCGCCGTGTGAGTTGTGTAACCGGATTCCTTCCAATCCTTAAATCTCCAAATTTCCCTAATCCCTTAAAGGTCGGCAACGCACTCGTAACTCCTCCGTTGTGTAGTGTAATATGGGCGGCGCTGATTGCTTACCATCAGGTAATCCGTATGATTGTTTGCCGACTTATCACATAAAAAAAATACACTTCTATTTTTTTTTCTGTGTCTTCATAAATCACAACATGGAACTTCTGGAAGAAGGTTTCCTTACCTGAACAATTTCTCCACAAGCTGCTTACCAAGGAAACCCGAGGCTCCTGTTAGGAACACAGTTCTGTCCTTGTAGAACTGCTGGATTTTTGAGTCTCCTCTATCTATCGCAGTTTTTGTCCCTTTCTGGCCTTCAAGGGCTTTAAAAATAACTGCTTGTGCTGCATCCATTTTCAATTCCACTTTCTTTTTAGTTGGTATGTGTTTGGTATTCAGGTCTGAACTCGAAAACGGCTGGATAGATTTGGATGATTTTGTGATACTTTTTAAATGGTAGTGATTGTCCAGGGTGTCCAAATATAGATTTTGAGTTTGAGTTTGAATTTTTTTTTTAAACTTAATGTTTTTTTAGACCTTTCTTATTTAACCGATTCTTTAAAGAAATATATTATACAGAAGTTTCGTAATGTTTTTTTATACCGTCACTGTTATTATTTATTTAGCTACTCTCACGCAGTTTTACCCGCAGCTCGGCTCCGACAGATCGTAGCGTAATGTTTTATGAAATATAGTCTTCCTCGATAAATGGACTAAAAACCACAAAAAGAATTGTTTTAATTTAAACCAGTATTTTCGGAGATTATTGCGGTCAAACAAACAAACTCGTAGGATAGATAGATTTTTTAACGAGTTATATTTATATTGTTAGTTTTCTTACGACACACAGACTTATATTTCAACTCCACAATTATGATTCTCACCTAATTGTTAAATAGTTTTTTTTTATATAAATCAACACTAATCTACACTACTATAAAGTATAGATCAGTGAAAAGTGAGAAATAGTTCTATATACTTATTCTAAAGAGGTAAAATTTGTAAGTTTGTATGTAGGGGTAATCTTTGGAAGCAATGGTCGGATTTTCAAAATTCTTTCACTGATAGATAGCTACAATGTTCATGTGTGCTATAGGCTATAAATTATACTTGATTTGCGTATTTTAGTCGAGCTATCACTTTAATATGCGTGTGAAGCCGCGGCGCGGTAGCAGCTAGTAATAATTGTTTGTTTGTTTGAATTGAAAAAACTCCGAAACTACTTGACTGATTTGAAAAATTCTTTTCTATTGTGAAGCTACACTATCCCCGGTAAATTTTCAAACTAATATTATGAATGCTAAAGTAACTCTGTCTGTCTGTCTTTTCTTCACGCCTAAACTACTGAACCGATTACTCTGAAATATGGTGCAGACATACCTTGGAACTTTAGAAAGGACATAGGATAGTTTTTATCCCGAAAATCCTGCGAGAGTGGGTAATTACCTAAAATCTGGAACTATGTGGGTATAACCAAAAATTTGCAGGAAAGTCCACTTAAACGAAGTCGCGAGGAAAAACTAGTTACGAACAAAACCGCGGGGCACAGTTAGCTTTTTTATTCTATATGTATGTTTTAAGCACATTTAAAAAAAAAACACTATTTATAGATTGGACTGAGGAAATCGTTGGATCTTGTTGAACCGTTTTATATAAACTAGACCTCATGAATATTGGATCAGGGTTCAATATTGAACTTAACCTTTGGTTAATTGCGTAGTTTTAATGACTAGAACTTAGGTACGTACTTAGGGCATGTATTTATAAATACCTAACTTGTTTATATGTTGTTTTGTTGGTTTTACCTGATGGTAAGCAATCGGTGCGGCGTATAACATGAAAGGTTCTTTTTAGGATTCCGTAAGCCGCATGACAATGCGAAACCGAGATTATATTTTTTTATTATCGTGATGAAAAGTGTCTTATAACCGGCTTAGGAATATAAAGAATATTTGTAACCAAGTTTCGTTAAAATCCGTCGAGTAGTTTTTGTTTCTATAAGGAACATACAGACAGCTAAATAGACAGACAGACAGACATGCAAACAGACAGACAGACAGACAGAGAGACAAACAGACAGACAAAAATTTTAGAGATTACATTTTTGGCATCAGTACCGATCACTTATCACCCCCTGGTAGTTATTTTGAAAATATATTTCATGTGCAGAATTGACCTCTCTACAGATTTATTATAAGTATAAATATATAGATTCGTTATAACCGTCTGTTTGTCCGTTAGATCATACACCAAAGTCACTTTAACCGAAACTATAACATTAAAACTTATAAAAACAATGATATCATGCAAAATTATTTTTCAACACACTTTCTCATAAAGTGGCTTTAATCCCACGGCAATTAGGCATATAATGACGCCTATATTCAAACTGTGACTTTTTCAATACTATAATTCACAAGTGAGTTCCTAATAGAGTTTTTTTTTCTCTAATATTGGTCGAGTTACGCTTACACTTGCGTTAAAATGCTATCCGCGAAAAGCCCAAAAAATAACCTAATTTTTAGTCTAAGGCCGATGCCCGCGCAATTGAAAACTGTCAATTTTTTCCCGCCATTACGAAACATTTTTGACAACTCGTCTCGTTTTCTCTTTTGAAGTTAATTTGGTTTTTTATTTAAGTATTATTTTATTCAGAAGTGTGTTGAAATACGTGTCTATTGATGACTAGCTGCTCTCGCGTGGTTTCACCCGCTGCTCGGCTCCATTTGATCGTAGCGTGATGTTTTATAGCCTATAGCACTCAGGAACATTGTAGCTATCTATCAGTGAAAGAATTTTGGCAATCCGACCAGTGGTTCCAAAGATTACCCCCTACATACAAACTTACAAATTTTATCTCTTTATAATATTATAAAGAGATATAGTATAGATTACCGTTTTCGGCTCCTTAAGACCTTCGCCTCACGGGTCGGGTCTCAATGCACCAGCGGTGATCATAAGAACTACTTGCACCATAAGGAACCGACTAATGTACGACGTATGTACTTTTTGCATTCTAACGTAATTATGTATTTAACTCTATGAATTGTTTTAAATAAGGTCCTTCTTATAACTCTTTGAATCTTACGTAATATCATTTCACATATCAAAATCGACTAAATGATGTAGCAAAGACATGAATTGTAAAACTGATTGAAAAGAGTAACCATGGAGTTTCTTGCTTGTTCTTTTCCATCGGAATCTACACTTTGGAACGAGCAAATAGCTTCACTAGAGGACAAACGGCCAGACTGACAAGAATAAAGTTAAACATCGTAAAAATTTAGATTTTTTTGCTTGATCTTCAAAAGTGCCTACTGTGGTCTAATTGAAATAAATGATTTTGACTTTTGCTGAGACTGGCCGAAGCTGCGGTGGTGGACGAAATCCGTCTGCGATGATTAGCACGCGCAGGAGCCGTCACAGACTTGCTTGCTTGCTACATGTTGCGTTGTAGCTGCATGCTTGCATGCTTTTTGTATGCTGAGTGCTTCAGCTACCTACAAAATCAAGCGCCAACAAATTTTGTTAGAGCAATATTGTATCAACGTGTATAGTATCAAATATTTTGAGTTAATAATTTTATTAATTTGTTCATTGTTATATTTGTAAAATATGTTTCAATATGGCTTTTAGAGAAATGTTTCTATTCTATGGCCGAGTATATGGCTCATAAGGAAGAAACTGTTTAGGCTAGGTACCATAAATTCTTAATATTGTATTGTTAGTTTTTAAGACTTTAAATTGTTATTTGTTTTTGAGTTTTTCTTGTTGATAAATACCCTTTTTATTTATATTTGTATGCCGATGCTACGGCGAAACATGCAGAACTTATAAGAAATGTTACATCTATGTACCCCGTGTTTCATACAAATAAAGATTTCTTATTTCTTATTTCTTATTTCTTATTTATTCTATACTTATAATTTATGCTGTAGCGACATCTATCGCACAACATTGACAACACCACCAATTCCGGTGTCATCAAGGCTAGAGTGAATAGGCTCTTAATGAACTAGTGCGCCTTACCATCAACGATTGCATCACTGATTACCATCAGGTGGGATCGCAGTCAAGCACTAGTTTATTGCAAGTAAAAAAAATACCACGTGCAAGGTGTAGCGACATCTATCGCACAACATTGACAACAGCACCAATCACGTGCAAGATGTAGCGACATCTATCGCATAACATTGACAACAGCACCAATCACGTGCAAGTTTCTACATCGCGGAATAAGAATTTTTAACGCAATTAGCACCGATATAAACAGTAGCCCACCAGGCACGAACACCTCGCCTGGTCGGAGGATCCTCCCTTTTCAATTGAGGATGAGGAACTTTCCACCCTGTTCCTCATACCTCTAAAATGCTTACAAACGTTATGCTTAAAAAGTATGCTTTAGAACTGCCAAGTGTAGATTCTGCCGGGGTTGCGGGGTAAGCGCAATGAGGCACCGCGACCTCGGCCCAGAGCAGGAGAAGGAACAGGGGGGTTTTTAGTCAGTAAGAGTCTGACACTCCCTCCCGCCCGGCCCTGGGCGGGAGAAGTCACTTGATGAGTTTCCCCTCACAAAAAAAAGTGTAGATTCTACCAAAGTGTACTTTCCGATGGAGAAGAACGATCAAGAAACTCCATGGTTACTCTTTTTCAATCAGTTTTACAATTCATTTCTTTGTTACATCATTTAGTCGGTTCTGATATGTGAGAACAGTGTAACACTAATGTTTAATGGCAAACAATTAGAAAAAGAAGTTAACCTTTAGGACAATATATTTAGACAGCCTGGAGTTGACAGCCACGGCAGCTCACTCGTAGGCGCCTGCTCTTCAGTTGCCAGGCCATATCGCCCCTACGAGTCTACGAATTTTTAAATAACACCAGGGGTAGGACCAACGAGACGGAGTGGAGTCGGTTTTCGAAATTTGTTTTATTCGGTTATGAATACAAATTTATGCCAAAACAAATTGGTCTTTAATATGATTATGACGAGCGTACTCCTTCTTAAAATGCCTTCAACGCGCCTGTGTCTCCTCTTTTGCTACGGGTGTCCATGGGCGGCGTCGATCGCTTACCATCAGGTGATCCGTCTGAGTCGTTTGCCTCCTATTCCATGAAAAAAAGCCAGCATAAAATGTATGCCTAAAATTAAACAAATTGTGCCAAAGTCCTTATGCCAAAGTTGGTTAGGGTAATAGCACTTAATGCGAATAAAAGGGATCCCATGCTCCTCATACACCTACCGTTTAAGATAATTATATTTAACTAGCTTTTGCCTGCGATTCCATTCGCGTGGAATAGTGACTTCTTACAGACTTTTGGTATAATAAAATAATTTTTAACAAAAAAAAACCGACTTCAAAAGTAAACTAAAAACTAAAAAGCAAGAAATAAATTTACTTTGTTCAAAGTAATACACACTTTCATTTAGTTAAATAGAAAATAATATTTAGTAACTATTTTATAATCTTAAAGTCGGTGCCAAGTAAAACTATAACAGTGTTTTTTTTTTTTTTGTGAGGGGAAAATCATCAAATGACTTCTCCCGCCCAGGGCCGGGCAGGAGGGAGTGTCAGACTCTTACTGACTAAAAACCCCCCTGTTCCTTCTCCTGCTCTGTGCCGAGGTCGCGGTACCTCATTGCGCTTACCCCGCAACCCCGGCTGAACATCAGCCCTTTAGGGCCCCGTCTGTGGTGGTCGAATGGCTCTTTGAGGCGCGCGCGGAACGCTACGCGCCGTACGCTCGGGCCTGGTTCTGGTCGGGCGGCGAGCTGCCCTTACTCGCCGACCGCAGGCCCGTACTTACGGTGGCCGGAGATCGTCCCTCGATCCCCGACGCCCGTAGTGTCGCCAGTTGCGGCTGCTGGGGCGTGAGGAGGAGGATTGCTCCCTCACGCGGGCCGCCTCTCTCTTTGCGAGCATGACTGCTTCACAAAAGGAGGAGACGGCGTCCCAGTTCCTCTCACTCCGCACCATGGCCTCGACTAAGGCCGGGCGCGAGAGGTCGCCGCCGCCGATCACTTCCCTGAGGATACGGCGGTGCTCAGCCCAGGCAGGGCATACCGCTACCGTATGCTCCACCGTATCCTCTAGGTGGTCCTCACAATGACGACACTCGGGCGTTTCCTTCCCGCTGAATCCGAAACAGGAACCTACCGAAGCTGCCGTGCCCGGTAAGCACCTGCGTCAGACGGAAGGTGAGGACGCCGTGGCGTCTCTCAAGCCACTCCTCAAAGAGGGGTCTTACCGCTGCTATGGTAGCGTGCCCGGCCCTCGGTTGCGACAGTCGTTGTCTCCACTCTGCCATGAGATCTCGCCGGAGCTCATTCCGCCACGCACTTATTTGGCGCGGCAGAGGATCTTCGCCCCGGCGACGCGCGTCTGCGCGCAAACTGTAGACGCGCGCGAGCGCATTCGCTTCTAGATCCCACGGCGGTGATCCGGCAAGGAGGTTCGCCGCCTCCCCGGAGATCGTGCGATACCCGCGGATTACTCGTATAGCCATGACCCTCTGGGACGCGACCAGCGTACGAGCCGGCCGCCGCTTCAAGTCCGGCGCCCACACAGGGGCACCGTAGAGGGCCATGGATCGCACAATCCCCATATACAACCTCCGGCAGGAGGCGTTTGGCCCCCCGAGGTTGGGAAGGAGCCGCTTGAGCGAGGCCCCAGACCGTTCCAACTTAGGGGCCAAACGACGAAAATGAAAACTATAACAGTGTAAAGATATTACTTACATACCTCTTGCTAATTTGATGATTAGTAGGTACCGATCAATATATTTTTCTAATACTGTTGTTGTTTGGTATGTAGCATTTACTTGGCACCGACTTCAAAATTGTAAAATAGTTACTAAATATTATTTTCTATTTAACTAAATGAAAGTGTGTATTACTTTGAACAAAGTAAATTTATTTTTTGCTTTTTAGTTTTTAGTTTACTTTTGAAGTCGGTTTTTTTTTGTTAAAAATTATTTTATTTCACCATTTTAAGTGATAGGCAGAGAAAGCTAGGATGCTTCTTAAAAGAGAAGACGACGGCTACTTGAGACCGAAAATCACAGTAACGGCAGTCCTGAGTTAGTCAGCTTTCAGTGCCGTAAATCGTTGAGGAATTCCCGCGAATGTCAATGACCTCCATTATCAGGTATACTGCAGACCTTAATTATACATAATCCATATAGGTGCAAAGTTCTCATCAATATAAATGAATTAAGTCCAAACACGAGGTAGTTACTGTAAACCGTTCAGGAGTTCCCTGAGCTGTCCATCGTTCTCAACATCAGACCCTTAATGACAGTCACGACCAATCTTGGTGCAAAGTGCTCACCAATACGAATCATTCAAGCCTAAACACAAGGCAACTACTCCAAATAATCAAGGAGATCCCTCGACTGCCTCCCGGCTCCATCATCACAATTTACTGCATAACTTCATTGTAATCCATAGTGGTGCAAAGTTTTCATTGATATAAATGAATGAAGTCCAAACACGAGGTAGTTACTGTAAACCGTTCAGGAGTTCCCTGAGCTGTCCATCGTTCTCATCATCAGACCCTTAATGACAGTCACGACCAATCTTAGTGCAAAGTACTCACCAATACGAATCATTCAAGCCCAAACACAAGGCAACTAGTCCAAATAGTCAAGGAAATCCCTCAACTGTCTTCCTGCTCCATCATCAGGTCGGGTTCGAACATCGGCAAGTTGTAAATTTGTCAAAAGCCTACTAAAACCATATGCAAAAGCACAACTCGCCCCTATAATTTTTGAAAGTTCCCCTCGATTTCTCTGGTCTTCCATCATCAGATCCTGATTTGCTTATCATGGGACTATTCTGGGACTATCTCCTTTCCAATAAAAAAAGAATTATCAAAATCGGTTCATAAATAACGGAGATATCGGCGAACAAACATAAAAAAAGCATATATACGGTCGAATTGAGAACCTCCTCCTTTTTTTGGAAGTCGGTTAAAAACTATCCTATGTCTGTACTAAATTTCACAGAAATTGGTTGAGTAGTTTAGGCATGAAAAGAAGACAGACAGACAGAATTACTTTCGCATTTATAATATTAGTTTGGATTTAAAACACTTAATACAATATAGTGTACTGGCTGGACTTAATGCCTTAGGCAGTGTCTTATATAGGAGGGAGAGCCATGCTTCGGCATAAATGAGTCGGCTCGACCGGAGTGATAACACGGGTTCACAGAAAACAGGCGTGGAACAACCACAGCTTTGAGTTTCATGTAAGTGAGGTTAGCGAAGGCCCAATCCTTTCCCTACTATCCCTCCCCTATCCTTAAATCCCCGAAAGGTCGGCAACACACACGTAATTCCTCCGTTGTTGAGGGTGACCATGGCATGCGCTGATTGCTTACCATCAGGTAATCCGTATGATCGTTTGCCGTCCTACAACCTAAATCCATTTTAAGTGTGGGAGAGCCATGCTTCGGCACAAATGGGTCGATTCGACCGGAGTGATACCACGACCTCACAGAAAACCGGCGTAAAACAACCACAGGGTTGTGTATTGTCGTGTGAGTGAGGTTACCGGAGGCCCAATCCTTCCTCTCCCCCAATCCCTCCTCAATCCCTAAATCTCAAATCCCTAATCCGTAAAAGGCCGGCAACGCACTCGTAACTCCTTTGGTGTTACGGGTATCCATGGGTAGCGTCAATTGCTTTACCATCAGGTAATCAGGGATTGGAACAGTTTGCCGGCTGCAGTCTTTCCGTCCGAATACAATTTGGGTGTCTTCAAGGCTAGAGTGAATAGGCTCTTAATAAACTAGAGCGCCTTACCATCAACGATTGCATCACTGCTTACCATCAGGTCATGCAGTCAAGCACTGTTATGGCAAGTAAAAAAACACAGTCTGCTCGTTAGCCAAGTAGTTCAAATTTCAATAATAATCTTTTAAAATAATAAAAAAGAATCGATTGTCCCGGTCTCTTGAATAAAATAAAATTTCACGTACCTAACAGAATCCCACGCAAGGCCAAGCCATTACTGCATATACCTAGAAGTCGGACTAACTTGGGTAAACATTCACCTATAGTTAGACTGACCTCGCAATATAATTGTTTGTCTGAAACCTGTGAAGATATTGACATCTTCCACAACACCTTTGGAAGGTTTAGAAGTATTGTTGCAAGTAACTTGGAATCTGAATGTTAACGCTTAAGTTGATCATTAATTTATATTGGAATTTACATGCACCTATTTTATTTGAATTAAGTTTAATTGAATTATTTTATTTTATTTTTATTTGAATTAAGTTGCGATTTATTCTGTACCTAACAAGCTTTAGTCTGCAATTCTGCTGGTGTGTTCAATGATTAATTTTGATTGATTTTTGAAATAGTTTTGATTCATTTTTTGATCTCATTAATGTGATCTCGAATATAATTTGTAATTGTATAAGTATTGTGCTATTTTATACATATAATGTTTGTCTGGTATTTTTTATTTTACTATCACATGTGTGTTAATTTAGAAAACCTATTTATTGTTGCTTGTGTCTGATTACGTTTTGTGTTTCATTGTGCCTAACATTGTATGTCTGTCTATGTTTTAATATTATAATTTTAAATACAGTTTTGCATGATGTGGCCTCCTGTAATTGAGGAAGCACATAGTTTTTATCTTATGATTGTTATTATCGTGAATGCTTTGTGTATTTCTTGTTGGAGACCCTTAAATTAAATAAATAAATAAATAAATAAAATGAAACAACGAAAAAGCGACTTAATAAACAATATATTTCACAGCTTTAAACATATAAAACGCGATCATAAACCATACGTAGATATACAGGACCATAAAGACGAGATTGGCGTACCACAGCCTCTTCTGTTTGACGTAGGCCTTCTCCGAATCCACAAGGCCATCCTTCACAATGAACTTCCGAAGGCCAACGATCATACGCTTGGTGAATTCTTTGAAATCAACAGTTGTTATATCACAGTTATATATTTTCCTGTCATCGTCAGACATTCGACTGATCATCGCAACCAAGTTGTCATCTTTGAAGTGCCATTCGTTCGTCATGAAGTATCCGAAAACCTTCGACATCTTGTAGATTTTCTCGTAAACTTTTGTTGCTCTGAAATTTTGAAAATACAATTTTAATTTCAGTGTGGGAGAGCCATGCTTCACATGCATGCACATATGGGTCGGCTTAACCGGAATGATACCACGGCCTCGCAGAAAACGGAATTCCGGTAACTTAAATCCCCAATCCTCAAATCCCCAATCCTCAAATCCCCAATCCGCAAATCTCCAATAATCAATTTCCCAATCGTCAAATCCCCAGTCCCCAGTCATCAAATCCCTAATCCTTTAATCTCTAATGACAACAAGACCATTGTAGTAAACAATGGCGTTACTGGAGTCTTGCGGTCGTTAGGAATTAAGGATGGAGGATTTGAGGATTGCGGATTTGACGATTGTTGATTTCTCTTCTTTAGTATCAAGGGTGTCCATGGGCGTCGCTGATTGCTTAACATCAGGTAATCCGTCTGCTCGTTTACCGGTCTATCTTATCTACCTAGCCATGCTTCAGCACAAATGTGTCGGCTCGACCAGCGATACCTCAATCTCACAGGATGAGGTTACCGGAGCCCCAATCCTTGCCCTTCCGCAATCCCTAATTCCTCAAAACGCACTTGCAACTCCTTCACAGTTCCTGGCTACCATTTGCGGCGCCGATAGCTTACCATCAGGTAATCCGTCTGTTCGACATGAAAAATACTGATTTAAAAAAATACTTACGAAGGTATCTCCTTAATTTTAATCCCCATGACGTGACAAATACCGTCTATAACATAAGCTGGTATATAATGGAGGAACCAGAAGAGAAATAGGTACAGATAAGTGTTTTTAGTCTCCAGTAAATAGCAATACCAGACGGCTTTAGGAGACGCCAGATGCTTAAACTCTTCTGAACGTGTTAGATTTGCTAGATAATCTGAAAGAAGAAAAGAAGAGATGATATATCTTGTTCCAATCCTTTTCCGAGGGTTGGAATCGCTTGCCTGCAACGGTCTTCCTGTCCAGTTATGATTTAAGTCTTCAAGGCTAGAGTGAATAGGCTCTTAATAGAGTGCACCTTACGATCAACGATTGCATCTCTGCTTACCATCAGGTGTGGTTGTAGTAAAGCACTAGTTTATAATGCATGATTTAAAAAAAAGCCTTTTCCAAAGCCAAAGTAAAGGTCAAATCGACACTTTTGAATTTGAACGTCAAACAAAATAATTTAATATTGTGATGTTGTTGTGTCAGTTGTTTCGTGCGGGAATCGAACCCGCGACACGCACACGCACGCCAACCGTGCAGTCAATGATTATCGCAGTCTAAAAAGAGTTGAACCTCAACGGGTATCTGACACCCAGTCGAAGAGTAATGGTGGTGTAATTGTGTTAACTATACTGTTACTTACTCCAAGGTATTTCGCATTTGGTAGAGCTGACTGTGTAGATTGGTATTCCATCGCTGGCTTTAGACCTGTTCTGGACGGAATCCCATCCTGCAGCTATGATCGCGTTGTTGACGATATCCACGGGAGCTATGTTCAGACTTAGGTCACTCTTCAGGTAAAACACTCTGAGAAAACCTAGGCCAACGCCTATCATTACCTGTGGAATTAAATAATAATATAGGATTATCATCATCATCAGCCTATAAGTGCCCACTGCCGAGCAAAGGCCTCTTCTCACACGGAGAAGGTTTGAGCATTAACTACCACGCTTGCTCGAGGTAGATTGTCGATTTCAAACTTATAATTAGAAATTATAAGTCCAGGTTTCCTCACGATGTTTACCTTCACCGTATGTCAGTGGTGTCTAAATAATCATAAAAAGTACATATAGCTCGGAAAAAATCACATTGGTACTTGCCAGGTTTCAAACCGCTAAATGAAGAATTTTTGGCAAGATATTATTAACCTACCAAGATACCAGCACGTCGATTCTATAAAATTTGTTTGATTTTGAATCTTGTTCGAGTGCGAAGTGAGCGTCGAAGTGACGGGGAAATTAAATTTTAGAATGTCACTTTTAACGTCATCTCATACTTTATCTATCAAAATGTTGCGGTCAATTTAGTTCAACTCGCAAGTGTAGCGCTAGTGTACTCTACTACTCACAGCGGATTCAGATTCGAAGTTTAGAATAAAGTCTTACAGAATCACACCCCAGATAGACCATCTAATGATGATGAGTTTTTGAATTACATTACCGAGGGTATATACGCTGTAATTCCCCCTGTCCCATAGTCATAAATGTGTGTCAAAAGTCAAAGTGAAAGTAATTCGACTTTGTAATTCAGTTGACTTACAACTGAATTACAGAAGTCGAAATCATAACAGTCTAACACCCGGTTTCTTCCGAAAGGCCGATCAATGTTAAAATCAATTTAATCTCTTGTCAAATCATCTAATTTTTTTTTTTGTATGTATAGCTCGGCAAACGAGCAGACGGATTATCTGATGGTAAGCAATCAGCGCCGCCCATGGACACTCGCAACGGAGGAGTTACGAGTGCGTTGCCGACCTTTTAGGGATTAGGGATTTGGAGATTTAGGGATTGAGGAGGGATTGGGGAAGGGGAAGGATTGGGCCTCCGGTAACCTCACTCACACGGCGAAACACAACGCAGTGGTTATTTCACGCCGGTTTTCTGTGAGGTCGTGGTATCACTCCGGTCGAGCCGACCCATTCGTGCCGAAGCATGGCTCTCCCACACTTAAGCATCAAAGCATCTTAAGCATCAAAGTTCAAGCGAAAGTCAATGTCAAAGTTCAAGTTCAAGCCAAAGTCAATGTCAAAGTCAAAATCAATGCCAAAGTTAAACTCAAGTAAAATAAATAAACGGCATAATTTGAATAATAGTCATAATAGTCTAGTCAGCTAGTCCATCAGTGAGTCCACAAAATGTTTTAAAATATTAGGTAAGTATACTTACTCCACAAGGTCCGGACATGATGCTGGTGTCTGCCCATCCAGGAGTTGGTTCCATGTACGAGGTCAAAACTGGGGGAAAAATAGTCAGTTATATAAAAATGTCGCTTGAAGTTGGCAGATAAGTCTGGCCAAATTTCGCATCTTTATTATTTTAAAATTAAAAATACTATAGTATTTATTAAAAAAACTAGCGACCCGCCCCGGCTTCGCACGGGTCCAATGCCGATACTAAATTACTCCACTACATAATGGATGTTATTATACACATAAACCTTCCTCTTCAATCACTCTATCTATTAAAAACCGCATCAAAATCCGTTGCGTAGTTTTAAAGATTTAATCATACATAGGGATGAAGGGACAGAGAAAGCGACTTTGTTTTATACTACGATGAAGCGGTTAATGAAATAATTCTTTGAATTACAAGAACCATATAAGAAACGTTGCAGGAATCGAACACAATACGGTAGTTTCCAACTAGGCAAATTCAATACTTTTATCCTAACGTCAAAAACGATACATTTCTATGAAATTTGTATGAAATACTGAGCGTGTGAAATATTATGCGACGATTAGCTTACTTATTTCTTAATAATTAGCTAAAAATATATCTAAAAGTTAGTGTATTTTTTTTTAAATAAACGTTGCCCCACACTAGGCTTTTCTCCTGTGGCGTGGGTGCGGTTACAAACATATAATTTCACATGCACATGACACCCAGACTCGGAACAACAATTTGTGTGTCACACAAAGAGTTGTTCCGTGCGGGTATCGAACCCGCGAGTTGCACGGCAGCCAGTTGCCCAGCCACCGCACCAACCGTGCAGTCAAAAAAATGCAGTAAAAAAATTATAAGAACGGAAAATGGAAAATGTTCTCTCTCTATCTCTCTCTCTCTTCTCTCTCTCTCTCACGCACCCAGGGTGTGGCCACAGATAGTGTCAGACTCTTACAGACTAAAATCCACTTAGTTCCATCTCCTCATATTTACCTAAAGGTGGCTTCACAATGGCTACAGGTAGATCAGCAGCAGTGGTTCTGATCAGCTCCTCCGCAATAGCTTTCGTGAATGTATAAGTATTCGGCCAATCCTTAATCAACCTGAAAATAAAGAATATTATTTCGATTTAGTTCTTGTGTACCTATTGAAACTGAATAAAAAAAATGCAATGTTGTCTCAAAGCCCACGAGTTCGTTTAATAAGAAGAAGTACATTGAGTATATTAATCACTATGTTTTTTTAAATTGTATACTTTATTCCTTATATTACTTAACTAGCTGCTCTCACGCGGTTTCACCCACTGCTCGGCTCCTTTTGATCGTAGCGTGATGTTTTATAGCCTATAGCACTCAAAAATAGTGCAGCTATCTATCAGTGAAAGAATTTTGGCAATCCGACCAGCGGTTCCAAAGATTACCCCCTACATACAAACTTACAAATTTTACCTCTTTATAATATTAGTATAGATGTCCAGGTTTCCTCAAGATGTTTCGAGTTCAGACCCTCATTCATAAAAAGCCTCAAACTCAGTGCTATCACCACGACAATAGAAATAATAAGATTTACAAATATTATAAAAATATTTCTAAGATTATTTAGACCTAATATCGTGAGGGAAACCTGGACTAAAAATTTCTAGTAAGGTATAAGTTTCCAATCGCCAATCCGCCTTGAGCAAGCGCTGTGGTTCATGCTGAAACCTTCTCCGTGTGAGGCACATATAGGCTGATGATAATGATGAAGAGAATCAAAACTATAATATTATAAATGCGAAAGTAACTCTGTCTGTATGTCTGTCTTTTCTTCAAGCCTAAACTTCTGAACTGATTTCTATGAAATTTGGTACAGACATAGTTTAGAACTCGAGAAAGGACATAGGATAGTTTTTATACCAAAAATCTGCAGGAAGCCACTATTCCAACGAACGGAGTCGCGGGCAAAAGCTACTTTTGAATATTTCTACATAAGTACATACTCTGCAGTAATGCTGTCCAGCCTGCTATCTTCCATGGTCTCCACCATTCCAATGATGGCTGATGGAGATACAGGAGTAGGATGGAACTCCTCCCTGAGGTCAGTTCCTATACGGCTTGCAGTAGCGTGGGTGAAGCCGGTAGAAACGTGGATAAAAGACCTGAAAAGAAATTAGAAGTTGTGTTCAAGTTTAGTGGTTTATGTCTCGGTTCAGGTATTTGCTAGTCGTATTTATACCTGGAAGTGTAATAGCTTTTTCAATAAACAATATTACACGCCTTTTTATGTCACTCTTTTCAACTAGCCCCAGCCGCCGCAGTAGGAGACGATCCGGGCTTCGGGGATCGTCTGGTATCTCACCGCCTGACCAGAACCAGACCTGAGCTTACGGCGCGTAGCGTTCCAAGATTCTCAAAGAGCTAATAGACCACCACAGATGAAGCCCTACAGAGTTAATATTCAAGCAAGCCAGGGTTGCGGTGATCAGGAGAAGGAAAGGGGTGTCTTTTTGCCAGTCAAATTCTGTCTCTCTCTTTCTTTCTGAAGAGAAGTAATTTGATGATTTTCAACCCTAAAAATAAAAGGCAATCAAACAATCCTTTTAACACTATCCGTGGTATAAACGATAGAATCCGCATAGCAAGACTGCATCCCTACGCAGCGCCAAAGGTTCAGTGAGCTTTCTAAATAACTGGCTTAATCCATAACTTCAGAAGTGGAAGAACTATTCAGTACCTTTAGAAACCCTCCCAAAAAACCCCTTCGTTGTATTCGTGATGTGGGTACTTACTTAAGGTTTTTGCAGTCCTTAGCCAACGCAATGACTTCCCTTGTTCCTCTAACGTTGGTCACCACAGCGACCTTGATGGGGGAGTCAAAGCGGATCGTAGCCGCCATGTGGACCACGATGCTTGTCTGAAATTATTAAGGAAAAATATGTGATTATTAGAGTTATAATTCGCCACGAATGATATGCCATAAGAGCCAATAGACCACCACAGACGGGGCCTTATAGAGCTGATGTTTAGCCGGTTTTGCGGGGTAAGCGCAATGGGACACCGCGGCCTCGACCCAGAGCTGAAGAAGGAACGGTGGCGTTTTTAGTCAGTAAGAGTCCGACACTTTCTCTCCCCTCACCCAGGGCGGCAGAAGCCATTTGATAATTTCCCTCTGACAAAAAATAATCAATTGCTTCATAGAAGACCGGCGCGAAACAATGCTACCGTTGTGATTCGATGTGTGAATGAGGTTATCGGTAGACCAAAACTCACACCCCATCTCCACTTCCCTCAATCCTGCAATTCTTATCTCCTAAAAGGTCGGCAACACACTTGCAACTCCACTGAGCTCGTTGTTCAGCTGCTTCAGTTCTTCTCGTCCAACCACTGCCAGCCACCCTGCGGATGTCGTCAGTCCACCTAGCTGGGGAGCGCCCTACACTACGTTTGCCTAGACGTGGTCTCCACTCTAGAACACTTTTAACGGTCATCGGTTCTTCGTTTTTTTTTACATACAATTTATATAAAAGTCATGCTAAGATTGTTTATGTTGAGTTCATCACCAATGGATGGTTTAAGAGATTTTCACAGTTAAATCACGTAAGTCGTTTTCTTTAATAAAAAAATGGATCGCAAAATGTTTTGGTAAGCGCATAACTCAACAACGCCTGGACCAATTTTGCTAATTCTTTTTTTGTTGTGTTTGTTATTTTCAGGAGAAGGTGCTTATCAAAGAAAATATTAGAAAACTAGAGGGGAAGATTAGGAAAAAGTGACCCTTTGATAGCGAGATAGTTGGACACGTGCGAAGCAAGGGCCGGGCCACTAGTTATTAATAAATTCAGTATTTCTTTAGGTATGTCTCACAATAGTTACCATTCGAATACTAATCACACATAATTATTACATTCTAGATACTATTTACTACATATTAACATGACGTCAAAAGTTTTAATTATGTACGCTTCAATTCATTACATGTTCAATCAGTCAGCTAGCACTTTGGTCGCTGTATAATTTGAATGGCTATTTATTTGCGACTACCACCACCCGCTGCTCGCCTCCATTTAGTCTTAGCGTGATGTTTTATAGCCTATAGCACTCGGGAACGTTGTAGCTATCTATCAGTGCAAGAATTTTGGAAATCCGACCAGCGGTTCCAAAGATTACCCCCTACATACAAACTTTCAAATTTAACTCTTTATAATATTACTATAGATGGCTTATTAAGTATGGGAGAGCCATGCTTCGGCACGAATGGGTCGGCTCGACCGAAGCTCTTTGAGGCGCTCACAGAAGTTCAACTTACAGCATGAATAAGAAATTTAACCATTCAATCAAAACACTAGGTATTTAGGCCGTTATTTGGATGGCTAATTCAACTATGTGGCTGCGATATATGCATTGTTGTTTTTATTGTTATGTTTAACTAATTAGTTAGTAGCCATGTCAGCTGAGAAGGTCGACTTAATTAATAATTGCATCAATTATAATATGCAGTTAATTGTTTTTATTTTAATTGCATAGAATATAGTTTTGTTGTTAATAGAGAATAATAATTATTATTCTGAAAATTCAAAAGTAAAAAACATTTATTTTAATTATTAGACCTTTGCAGGCACTTTTGAACGTTAAACAAAATTTTAAAGATATAATTAAAGTGTCATTCTGTCGGTCAGTCCTCTAGTGAAGCTATTTGCTCGTTCCAAAGTGTAGATTCCGATGGAGAAGAACGAGCAAGAAACTCCATGGTTACTCTTTTTCAATCAATTTTACAATTCATTTTTGTTAAATCATTGGTGATTAACAATGGAAAGTTTTTTTTATTTGATAGGTCGGCAAATGGATCGAAGCGGATTACCTGATGGTAAGCAATCAGCGCTGTCCATGGACATCCGCAACACCAAAGGAGTTACGAATGCGTTGCCTTTTATGGATAAGGGATTTGGATATTCGAGGATTTGGAAGAGTTGGGGGACAGGGGAGGGATTATAATTTGAAAATACTTACATCTTTGGCGACGGTCTCCCATTCTTTGTCGCTTAGGCCGAGCCTAATATCGGCCACATCCCCTTCGACAGGAACAATTTGTTCTGCAAAGTTAGGCTTCGTCGTTCTCAATTTATCAAAAACCTGAAAAATAAATAGAATTCTCATTATAAAGGAGTTAAGAAGATCTTATTATTTTTATAATAACTATCGTGAGACATACTAGATTAACTAAAAATCGCGGGTTACTCACATGTATAATATCGAGAAAAGCTCGATTAGTTTCGAACTACAGGGGGGTTCTACCTCATGAGCAGCGTGCGCGGACGCTAGTAACGTAGTCTCGACGTTCAAAAGTGCCTACTGTGGTCTAATATTGAAATAAATGATTTTGACTTTTGACTTTAAATTAGTAAAGCTATTCTAACCCCCGGTTTCCGAAAGGCCGATCAATGTTAAAATCAATTTAATCTCTTGTCAAGTCATCTGATTGGTTGACTGAATTATCAACAACCAATCAGATGACTTGACAAGGGATTTAACAGGAGATTAGTTAATTTTAGCGTTGACAAGCCTTTCAGAAACCGGGCGTTAGTATATATACGTGAGTTACCCGCGATTTTTAGTTACTTAATCTTAATGTTATCCATAACAAGCTTTTGATTAACTTGCAACAACCACAGCGTTGTGTTTCGCCGTGTGAGTGAGGTTACCGGAGGCCCAGGGGTGCCTGGCAGAAAACCTCCCCGAGTGCTCGGTGGCTGCTGGTCCTCTTGGTATCTTGGGGACGAGCAGGCATCGGGCCGGTGCACCCTGGGTGCGGGCAACAGTCTTCTCTTGTGATTTGGGGAGGGGAAGATTGTTGCCCGCAGCGAATTTCTGCCGGAGCGGAGGAGTCGCTCCTGAGGGTTCCCTATCTGCGCTCTGTAGCTACAGAGTGCACGAATAGGGAGCGAAATTCAGATATGTGCGGTACGGTTGTCTACCCGGCGCAGATCTAAACCAGGTGATGGGATCGCTTCTCAGTTGAGAATGTAACTTGAATGTGGAGGGGTCTGGCATACTCTTGTAAGAGGTTGGAGTTTGTTGAAGGGAATACGTCGTCTGTAAGACATATCTGATGTGGTCACCGGATGGCGTAATAAGAATTATTTATGTTAACATATATTATATTTTGTAGTGTATATATGTATTTATATTATAATTTTGATATATATTAAGAGAAATGGTAGAAGATAGGGACCTCACCCTCAAAAGGAACCTTATGATGGCACATGAAAGAGATAATATACCCCAGGGAGGTACCCACGAAATGGGAGAATCCTCCACAGACCCGTCCAACGGTTCTGTCTGTCCCACGTATTCTGGGGGGGACAACATTTGCCAGAATTTTGTCGACGACCAAGCGCGCGAACACCGGATACCGATAATTTGTAATGACCGGACAGATGATATATTGTTTGAGAAGGATGGAAATACTACTCGTGTTGAGAAGTCGCTGGATTCTGTCTCTGGCACATCCGCAGCACAAGGATGTTGGTCCTCTAAGTTGAGGAAGAGAGAGAAGCGTCAGCTTGAAGCGGCGTCTAGTGACGATAAGTTACTGCCACCTCCCAAGGTGCCGACGAAGGCCAAGGAAAAGTCTGGCCGTGATGGAAGAGGTCGCTTTTTGCGGCCAAATACGTCACGCTTTAGTGACGAGAGTGATACGGACGCATCCCGGGCCTCGGTTGAACCAACAAACCAACAAAACTATGAGGTGATGGATGTGGAAGCCGCCTGTTCCGCACTGCCGTTGAGTACTGACAATTCGGTGGCAGGACTAGAACGGACAGGCATTCAGAACGTGGAGATTCTTCTGGAGTCCATTCGAAAATCAAAGAACCTTAAAGGTACAATTCAACGTACTATGAAGGAAGCGGCAGAGAAAATGCGCTCCTGCGTCGAGATGCTCGCTGCCAGGAGCACTACAGAAGAAACTTGTCGCCTACAGCTGGAAATTCAGCGATTGAGGCAGCAGATTGGAGCTCAGGACAAGGAGATTGCGGCTCTCAAGGAAGAGATGCTCTCAATGCGTCTCCACTCTGTGAACTTGCCACGTCAGCACCCACAACCAATGGAAAAGTCTGCAGTGGATGAAGAGCTGTTGCGCAGTGTTATTGACCGCGTAGGCAAAATGTTAGATGCTCGTATGGCGGGGATTGAAGATCGGCTCCTACCACAGGTAAATCTTCGCCCTCCATTAGCAGCCGATCGAAAGAAGGCTGCCCAAGAGAAGCGAAAGACTGCTGCGGCTGTAACAAGCCAGACGTCCGAAACCGCGACTGTCATCGTGGCAACTCAAGCCTGTGTGACGGAGGCGCCGTCGGCCGTGCAAACACAGCAAGGATGGCAAACTGCCTCTAATAGAAAGAAAGAGAGGAAAAATAAAAAGAAAGCGACTGTGACGAAAGAGACCTCTGCTGCTGTCTTAGGCAATACTCAACGTTCGTTAGTACCAGCCAATGCACGAAAGAAAAAGACACGGAAACGACGCAAAAAGCTTCGTGCACCGAAGTCAGCTGCCTTAGTTCTGACGCTTCAACCTGAGGCAGTAGAAAAGGGGCTTACTTACAAAGATGTCCTGACGAAGGCCAGGCAAGCAACCAATCATGAAGAAAACGGTATCACCGACATCAGATACCGTAGAGCTGCGACTGGGGCTCGACTCTTCGAGTTTATGGGAGCCAATGGGGCTGCAGAAGCGGATCGTGTAGCTGAAAAACTACGCCAGGTCTTTCCGGAAGGTATTTGGATATCAAGACCAACCAAATGTGCCGAACTGCGCATAGTTGGCCTTGACGATTCTGTCACTGAAGAAGTCATCTGTGAGGCGGTTGCGCGCAGGACGGGCTGCTCCAAGGAAGCGGTGCGGGTCAGCGCAATTCGTGATGGTCCTGGAGGAGCTGGTACTGCCCGAGTTCGGTGCCCTGTAGCCTCTGCCAAGATGCTAGGTGAAGCCGGTCGACTTTTCGTTGGATGGAGTTCTGCCAAGGTACAAGTTCTGGAGACAAAACCCATACGGTGTTACAAGTGCATGGGGTCAGGACACACCTTCCCTCAATGCACTTCTGTAGTAAACTACAGCGGACTTTGTTTCCGTTGTGGAAAACAAGGCCACAAGTCAAACACCTGTACTGCAAACCCTCATTGCTTGAGTTGCGAGGCAGCGAAGCTGCCTGCAAATCACGTAGTGGGAGGAAAAGGATGTAAGGCCCCAACAAGGCCCAAGAGGGGAAATATGACCGCTAATACCCAGGTCGCTTCCCAAAGTGAAGCAGAAAGGCCAGACCAAAGGCAACAGGAAGTGGAAATGATTATCGAACACCCTAATGGACCAAGTCAGTAATCACAAAATACTCCAGGGGAATCTAAATCATTCTGCCGGTGCACAGGACTTGTTTCTGCAAACTATGGCAGAGTGGTCGATAGATGTGGCTGTGGCTGCAGAACCATATTTTGTCCCTCCTCGCCCGAACTGGGTAGGTGATGCGGACTCGTCTGTTGCCATAATTAGTTCATCGAATCCCAACTTGACCCCTCCTACACTCATGGAAAGAGGCTCGGGATACGTTGCAGTTAAATGGGGTGAGGTCATCATCTTTGGCGTATATTTCTCTCCGAATAGAGCTCTTCCCGATTTTGAAGATTTCCTGGACAGACTTGGGGTTTCGGTTCATCGGATGGCACCTAGCCAGGTCCTGATTATGGGGGATTTCAATGCAAAATCTATAGCGTGGGGCTCCCCTAGATCGGATGTAAGGGGACGTGTTGTTGAAGAATGGGCGGCGGTAACTGGCCTTGTTCTTCTGAATAGGGGGTCAATAAATACGTGCGTTCGGCAGGGAGGGGGTTCGATAGTGGATCTAACCTTTGCTACTCCGGCTTTATCCCTGCGTGTACAGGACTGGCGGGTTGTGCAGGATACTGAAACCTTATCCGACCATAGATACATTCGTGTAGATTTATCAACTTCGCACAATCGCATTCTTCCCCGACTTTCGAATGCTCAAAAGTTCCCACGATGGGCACAAAAACAGATGGATAGGGAACTGCTGGAAGAGGCTGCCATTGTTCAGGCGTGGCTGTTGCCACCGACATTTTCAGAGGGGGACGACGTCGATATTGGGGCCGATCGTTTCCGGAATGCCATAACTGCGGTCTGTGATGCAGCTATGCCTCGTGTGCGGCGGCGACCGCCTAAGAAGGAGGTCTACTGGTGGTCTCGAGATTTGGCTGACCTTCGCCAAGCCTGTATTCATGCGCGGAGGCGCTACTCTAGCGTCCGCAGGCGACGCCAGCGTAATGATAGCCTCGATATTTTAGAGGCTGAACTCTATGAGACGTATCGGGCCACAAGAGATACTCTACGGCTTGCGATTATTCGAGCGAAGGACCAAAGCAGAGCCGAAATGTTGGAGAGCCTTAACCGTGATCCTTGGGGTCGTCCGTATCTATTGGCAAGGAACAAACTTCGTGCTCGGGGCCCCCCACTTACGGAAACCCTTGAACCTCAGTTTCTTGGCAGAGTAGTCGGAGCCTTGTTTCCCAGTCAGGCGGAGCATACGCCCCCCGTTATGGTTCCGCCTGGGGAGGAACAGAGCGATGAAGAGTACATCCCACCGGTCACTAATGCGGAGATGGGTGCCGCGATTCTAAAGGCTCGCTCCAAGAAGAAAGCTCCCGGCCCGGATGGCGTGCCCTCCAAAGTACTGGCTATGGCACTGAGTTATGCAATGGAAGATCACCTGAAGGAACTGTTCGACACTTGTTTGACATCGAGAAAGTTTCCTCAGCCATGGAAAGAAGGACGCTTGGTGCTTCTGCAGAAGCCAGGTAGACCTCCTGACTCGCCTTCGGCATATAGACCCATAGTTCTGTTGGACGAAGCGGGGAAGATGTTGGAAAGGATCCTTGCCAGCCGCATTACTCACCACCTTAGCACGGTCGGCCCTGATCTATCAAATGCCCAGTATGGATTCAGGGCTAAACATTCAACCGTTGATGCCATAATACGCCTAAAAACCGAAGCAAAAGAGGCAGTTGCAAATGGAAATGTGCTGTTGGCGGTGTCACTTGATATCGCCAACGCATTTAACACTCTGCCATTCAGCTGCATAGGTGAGGCGCTAAGATACCACGGAGTGCCTAAATATCTGAGACAGCTAGTAGCAGACTACCTAACAGGACGAAGCATCTGTTATCAGGGATGTGACGGGCAAATAGTACGTTGTCCTGTTACTTGTGGTGTTCCACAGGGGTCTGTCCTGGGACCGCTCCTGTGGAACATTGGATACGATTGGGCTTTACGTGGCGACTTTACCCCCGGGCAGGGGGCAATATGCTATGCAGATGACACTCTAGTCACAGCTCGGGGAGAAACTTATGACGAAGCCGCGCACTCTGCAACGCAGTGTGTGTCCCTTGTCGTAAGCCGTATTGAAGCACTCGGACTTCGTGTTGCACTGGAGAAGACGGAGGCTCTTGTATTTCATGGACGTCGGCGTCGTCCACCTGCCGGAGCCCACCTTACACTTGGTACTACAAGGGTAAGAGTCCAGACCAAGATGAAATACTTGGGCCTTGTAATAGATCGACTGTGGAACTTCGGCGAGCACTTCTTGCAACTTCAGCCGAAGCTGATCAAAGCTGCGTCCTCCCTTGGTCGACTTTTGCCGAATTCGGGCGGACCTAGTGCGATTTGTCGGCGGCTATACACGGGGGTGGTTAGGTCGATGGCACTTTACGGATCACCTGTGTGGGCGGATTCGCTGAGGAGTGCCCAAAATAGGGCTCTCCTGCGCAAACCTCAGAGGATCATGGCGAACAGGGTCATACGCGGATATAAGACCGTTTCTGCGGAGGCTGCATTTGCACTGGCTGGAACGCCCCCGTGGGACTTAGAAGCACAAGTGCTCGCTGAGATATATTTCCGGAGAGCTAATGCTCGTTCGAGCGGTGACCGACTTCCGCCCGAGCTTGTCAGAAGATGGCGCGAGCAGGGACAAAAGGATATCCTCTCGGAATGGAAGGAAAGACTATCGGCTCCTACTGCTGGACACTGGACCGCTACGGCGATACGGCCAATACTAGAGAAATGGGTGGGAAGACGGCATGGTGTGCTGTCCTTCCACATCACGCAGGTTTTGACGGATCACGGCTGCTTCGGTTACTACCTGCACAAGGTAGCTAGACGTGAACCTACACCCGTGTGCCACCATTGCGGTGGCGGCCCTGACACAGCTCGGCACACCATTGAGCTGTGTCCCTCCTGGGAAGAACAGCGCCACGCATTGGCCGCTTATACAGGTAATGACTACTCGCTGCCGAATTTGGTGAGGGTTATGATCGACAGCGAAGCCGGCTGGGAATCTGTAGCTTCCTTTTGTGAACATGTAATGTCGCAGAAGGAGGTGGCGGAGCGGGTCCGAGAGGCAGCTGCTCTTGCAGACTCGATTCGTCGCCGGAGGGTGGGTAGGCGTCGGAGGCATTATGCCACCCAGATGCCTAGCCTAGCAACAGCCAGTGGGTAGCAGAACGGGGAGCTGCTGCCTGCATTGCACGAGCTGCTGCTGAGATGGACTGCCAATAGATGGAGGCGACCAGCCACTGCCGAGAGGTCACGAAAGTCGTTTTTGGTCCTCGTGGCTTCTCCCAAAAGGCAGAAGATGGCACGAAAGCTGAGTTTTTTAGTGGGTGCAAGCCCCACATAACCTCACCGTCTCCCCGGGCGGTGTGTGTATGCGTTAGGCATTTTTCTCAGCTGGAAAAAAAAAAAAAAAAAAAAAAAAAGGCCCAATCCCTACCATCCCCCGTCCCTTCCCAATCCTTAAATATCCGAAACCATTATCCCCAAAAGGTGGGCAACGCACTCGTAACTCCTTTGGTGATGCTGGCGTCCAAGGGTGGTCGATGCTTACCATCAGGTGTATAACAAGACAATATTACCTGATGGTAAGCAATCAGCGCCGCCCATGGACACTCGTAATACCAAAGGAGTTACTACAAGTTCGTTGCTGTTCTCTTGTGGTTTGTTAGGGATAGGGGATTTGAAGATAGGCGATGAGGGGGATTGGGCCTCCGATAACCTTTACGCCAGTTTTTTGTGAGGCCGTGGTATCATTCCGGTCGAGCCGGCCCATTCGTGCCGAAGCATGGCTCTCCCACACTTAAATTGGTAAAGAAGACCTGTACTCCAGCAGTGGGATGTCTCCCACTAATGATTCTGAAGAACAAGACTTGATATCCCTAACCTTGATCTAGAGATGGTCTCCGGCCACCGTAAGCGCGGGTCTGTGGTCAGCGAGTAAGAGTAGACCAGAACCAGACCAGAGCGTACGGCGCGTAGCGTTCCTCAAAGAGTTAATAGACCACCACAGATGGGGCAATGAGTCACCGCGGCCCAGAGCCGGAGATGGAAGGGGGGTTTTTAGTCAGTAAGAGTCTGACCCTCCCTCCTGTCCGACCCTGGGCGGGAGAAGTCATTTGACGTTTTTTTCCTTACAAAAAAAACCCTAACTTTCAAAAGCAAATTCTCGATGTTGCAGGTGTCCATGAGCAGCGTTGATTGCTTACCATCAGGTAGTCTGCTCGTTAGCTGCTAAAACTGATACTTACAGGATCGTCCAAAATGAATTTTATTCTGTCCTGAATGGTCTTTCCTTTCTTCGGCCGGATTAGGACGTACATCTTCTTGATGTCACATGTCCTGAAAATTAAATACAAGAATATAATATATAAGACAATTTTTTTATGTGATAGATCGGCAAACGAGCGTCCGGATTACCTGGTGGTAAGCAATCAGAGCCTCCCATGGACACCCGCAACAAAAGAGGAGTCATTTGTTGGAGTGCGTTGTCGATCTTTTGGCGATTAGGGATTTGGAGATTTAAGGATGGGGGAGGGGGACAAAAAAGTAGTTAAGGGTGCGTTGCCAATCTTGAGAATAGGAATATAGAGATTTAGAGATTGGAGGATGGGAAGATTGGGCCTCCGGTAACCTCACTCACACGGTGAAACACAACGATGTAGTTGTTTCACGCTGATTTTCTGTGAGGCCGTGGTATCACTCAAATGAATCAATGTAAATGTATGTACGCGTTTAACTCCATAACGGCTGCATTAAATTGAATAATACTATTTTGTTGTGCTTGTTCATCATCATCAGCCTATAAGTGCCCACTGCTGAGCAAAGGCCTTTTCTCACACGAAGAAGGTTAAAGCATTAATCGCCAAGCTTGCTTTAGGCGGATTGGCAATTTCAAATTGATAGTGACAAAATGTAAGTCCAGGTTTCCTTCACCGTATGTCAGTGGTGTCTAAATAATCATAAAAAGTACATATAACTCGAAAAAAGTCACATTGGTACTTGCCAGGTTTCGAATTTGCGTCATCTTGCATAAGAAGCGGGCGCCTTAACCTCCGGGCTATCATATCCATATACATAAGAGGGTAATCCAGATTCATTTCTGGGGTAGGCAAAGCATCAAAAAGTGCAACATGTGTTATAAATTCTGTTTTCTTTAACCTAATTTAAAACCCTAGTAACTTTTCCCTGAACTCGTAAACGACATCGTGGTCTATTATTCCACTGTTACCGTTTCGCAATTATAATTAAATTAATGTGTTAATAATTATACTGTAATTAACAAATAATTATAGCACTATTATATTTTGCACGCAACTCTAGTCGCGTGGAATAGTGACCTCCAGCAGATTTTTGGTATAAAAACTATCCTATGTCCTTTCTCGAGTTTCAAACTATGTCTGTACCAAATTTTAGAGAAATCGGTTCAGTAATTTAGGCGTGAAGAAAAGACAGACAGACAGAGTTACTTTCGCATTTATAAAACTAGTTTGGATAATTCTTGAAATAGCAAATACTGAGGCACCTTTAATTAATTTATAATTGAACTAGTCAAATTCAATTCTTTTTTTTTCTAATAGTAACTATAGTAAAAAACATTTTTTTTTAAATAACTACTTTTAGTCGCTTCAATTAACCAAAGAAAGCTCTTCTTTACATCTCACTAATATTATAAATGCGAAAGTTACGATGTTTGGATGTTTGTTACTCAATCACTCCAAAACGGCTGGACGGATCTGGATGAAATTAGGCACAGGCATTTTGATCCGACAGACAACCTATGCGTATAGTTTTGTCCGACATTTTTTACTTCGAAAACTATTTGATCAATAAAAAATAGGTAATAATTGAATTTGCCAGTCAACCCCTGCCTGTTTATCCGTATGTATCAATATTGGTCAGGGGCAGGGGCCATAGTATTTCCATAGTTATCATATCCACCAGTCCATAGCAACCCATACCCATAACCCTTTCAATTATTACCACATTTCGCAATAGTCCTGCATCAACCGGGTGCACAATCCTTGGGTGCACTTTTATAGAGCATACAGGGATAATTGCCGGCTGATGTCCCATTTCAATTACATTAAAGTTGTTCAACGGGCCTCTGCAATTTGGCTTCAGCCCCTCGTACGCCTTCCAAATGTCCAGAACCCTTTGGTCCCGTGATTGGTAAAGACTTAGGCTACTATTTATTAACGACGCGGGCGAAGCCGCGGGCGGAAGCTAGTCAGACATAAAAACGTCAATCAGTCTTTATATCAATCTTGCTGCAAAAATGTGCACACTGTAAAACTGTTTTTTTATGGGATCGGTCGGAAAACGAGACGGAGATGGATTACCTGATGGTAAGCAATCAGCGCCGCCCATGGACACCCCTAACGCCAAAGAGTTCGTTGCAAGCCTTTTAGGGATAAGGGTTTCGGATATTTAAGTATTGGGAAGGCAGAGTAGGGACAGGGATTGGGCCTCCGGTAATCCCACTCACACGACAAAACACAACGTAAATGATTGCACGTCATTGACAAAATACCGCGTGAACCGTGCAGTTGATATTTGAATAAACATTAGTGCTATTCGTGTCTTGACGTTGTCACTTGTCGCTGTGGCCTGGAGGTTAAGGCGCCCGCTTCCCATGCATGAGGGTTCTAAACCTGGCAAGCACCAATGTGACTTTTTCCGAGTTATATGTACTTTCTATGATAAATTAGACACCACTGACATACGGTGAAGTTAAACATCGTGAGGAAACCTGGACTTGTAATTTATAATCATAAGTTTGAAGTCGATAATGCGCTTTGAGCAAGCGTGGGGATTAATGCTCAAACCTTCTCCGTGTGAGAAGAGGCCTTTGCTCAGCAGTGGGACTTATAGGCTGATGATGATATCTAATATTATAAACGCGAAAGTGTGTAAGTACGGATGGATGTTTGTTAATATCTCACGTAAAAACTACTGAACGAATCTGAATGTAATTTGCAACAGAGATAGATTATAGTCTGGAATAAAACATAGGCTTAACAGAATACTGGTAAAAGTAAGAAAATTTGAAAAAACATACCTGAACATTTTCTCAATGTACTGTTTTCCTAAAAATCCGGAACCACCAGTTAGAAACACTATATCATTTTTATAAAACAATTGCACGTTTGAATTGGCATTCTGGATCAACTTTTCAACAGGTTTGTATGAAGCTAAAGCCTTGTACTCGACTTCTTGTGCCAAATCCATGGTTCAGAAGAGAAAAAATATATTAAAGAAGTAATGCTTGAAGTCTGTACTGTGCTCTGTATAAAGTGGCACTGTGAAGTGGCGATACGACAGCAATAGATGACAATTAATTGCTTTTTAAATTAGCTTTTCAAAATTCCTTTTAAGTAGAGGCAATTGTTAATGATTATTCCATTACGTAAATTTTAATTTGTTTTTCTATTATTATATCATTATTGTTTATATTAAGTATTTTGTAACGGCTTGATTTATTATTAAGTATGTTTAGTTAATTATATATAGGTATTTATTTGCGTAATATTTATGTATTATTATGTACTATTTTTAAAAAACACTAGATATTGTCGCTACTCTTTGTGTGATCCACAAATTGTTGTTCCGGGTCTGGATGTGATGTGCATGTGAAATTGTATGTTTGTAAACGCACCCTCGATAAAGAAGAAAATCTTAATGTAGGGCAATCTATACAAATATTACAAAGAGGTCAAAATTTGTAAGTTTGTATGTAGGGGGTAATCTTTGGAACCGCTGGTCGGATTGCCAAAATTCTTTCACTGATAGATAGCTACAATGTTCCTGAGTGCTATAGGCTAAAACACCACGCTACGAATAATTGGAGCCGTGCAGCGGGTGAAACCGCGCGAGACTAGCTTGTTTATAATATTAGTCAAATGTTAGAAGTCAAGTTGAAATAATTTATTCCAATTAAACCATACCAATAGGTACTTTTGAAACGCCAAAATAAAATAATAGTCAGTGAAGTTAGGTGCTAGCTAGCTCGCATAGTTTCGAAAAACAAACACGTTTTTGCTTACATTCAAATCCAAACTAATATTATAGATACGAGAGTAACTCTGTCTGTCTGTCCTTTCTTCACGCCTAAACCACTGAACCGATTTCGGCAAAATTTGGTACAGACATAGTTTGGAACTCGAGAAAGGACATAGGATAGTTTTTAAACCAAAACTTTACAGGAAGCCACTATTCCACGCGAACGAAGTCGCGGGCGAAAGTTAGTATTTTTTTATTTGAAAAATAGTTATGTTTGCTTGATGTGTAGTTTGAAAAAAGCAATTTAAAAGTCAGTCGTTGAGCAAATGTTAGTTCTTGTTTAAATAGGCCAAAATTTGCCTGTTCCAATCATCATAATCTTCAGCCCATAAGTGCCCACTGCTGAGCAAAGGGCTCTTCTCACGCAGAGAAGGATATAATTAGAAATTATAAGTCCAGGTTTCCTCACGATGTTTACCTTCACCGTATGTCAGTGGTGTCTAAATAATCATAGAAAGTAGGTACATATTACTCGGAAAAAGTCACATTGGTACTTGCCAGGTTCGAACCCACGGCCTCACGCATGAGAAGCGGGCTCCTTAACCTCCTATTCCAATAGGCAAGTTATAATACTGATTTATTTATTATGTAAGTAAGTATAAATAGTTATACCGTTTTGTTTGTCTTTTCGTTAATTTATGTTAAAAATTTTACGCTAACAATTGCATGCTAATGTCACTGACCGTATGTTTGACCTTTGCAGGTCAAAAAGAGTTCACATTTCTAGAAAATCGATCGATATTGACTAATTGTAGTTTTAAGTGTGGGAGAGCCATGCTTCGGCACGAATGGGTCGGCTCGACCGGAGTGATACCACGGTCTTACAGAAAACCGTCGTGAAACAACCACAGCGTTGTGTTTCGCCGTGTGAGTGAGGTTACTGCATCCCTCAATCCTTCTTCTCCTTAAAACATTATCTCCAGAAGGTCGGCAACGAACTCATGATTCCGCTGGCGTTGCGGGATTACCTACAAGGGCGGCGCCACCTGCTTACCATCAGGTAATCCGTTAGCTCTTTTGCCGACTAATCACACCGGAGTCTCATTACTTCACCCCCCACCAATCTCTTTAAAATATTATCTCCAGAAGACCGGCAAACGCTCTCGTAACTCCTTTTGTGTTGCGAATGTCCATGGGCGGCGCTGATTGCTTACCATCAGGTAATCCGTCAGCCAATTTGTATCACATGACATGATACAAAATAACTGGCGTGTTTATTACTGAATGCTAACAGTAACTGTGAACAGCACGTCGATTCTATAAAATTTATTTGATTTTGAATCTTGTTCGAGTGTGAAGTGAGCGTCGAGGTGACGGAGAAATTACATTATAGAATGCCACTTTTAACGTCATCTCATACTTTATCTATCAAAATGTTGCTGTCAATTTAGTTCAACTCGCAAGTGTAGCGCTAGTGTACTACTACTCACAGCGGATTCAGATTCGAAGTTTTAAGTCTTACAAAATCACATTGCAGAGACGGAAAAGTTTTTATAATTATAAACATTTATTACGCAAATCTCCTTCGAAAACGTATTAGTATTTTCAACATACTTAATTCAGTTTGTTTATCATACATTATTCATTCGAGGAAGTGTTTTTGAGAACGTAACTAATTGTGCTCCATTTTGCGTAGACTCTTTAAGCCTAGCCTAGCATAAAATAACTAGTTCAATCTAGATTACATGTAACAAAACAAATAAAAGTATTTATTCGCGTCTGTGACGTGTAAAGGACACAAAACGAACAAGATAACAAAAAAAAATTAATAAAAGGACATGGCCAATTTTTGTATGGGCGTTTGCATAGTTATTGAACCCAATGTACATCAATGATTTTTGGTGTTTACATTCGTGAATATTGTTAAATTAAATTGCGATAAATAAAACACATGAAGAACTCGTAATTACAACACACAAGACGAAAATAGTTTCACTAAACCTTTAGTCAGATTACTGGCCATAAGTGCACGAAATAAGATTTGCTTTTAAAAAGCCACGAGGCGTTTTAACTATTTATTTATTTATAAAATGAAACAAAAGAATTTTAATAATGATTTATTTATTAAAGAGAATAAATAAAATAAAACTACGTAATAATTCACTTTTATATATTTTTATTTTACAGTGTATTTTATTATGTTTGTGTATATGGGATGTTTGCATCTGTATGGGCGTTGGCATAGTTATTGAATTCAAGGTTCATCAATGATTTTTGGGGTTTTACATTTGTGAATATTGTTAATATTATATATATAAAACATATTTATTGTATTTATATAATGTATAGGTATACATATATTTATATTTATTGATATATGTATATGTATGAGCAATAATTTTGTAGCATGTGTTTTTTTTTCCTTATTTTCATCAAGAAGATGCACCTACCACTCCTATTTCTCCACCACCCTAAGGTAGACTGGCAGAGAACGCCTAAGGCGTTAAGTCCGCCATTGTACATTAGGCAAGAAGTGTGAAATAAATAAATAAATAAATATTGTTACATTAAATTGCAATAAATAAAACACATGAAGAATTTGTCATTACAACACACTAGACGATAATAATTTCACTAAACCTATTGTCAGATTACTGGCAATAAAGCATAAAATAGGATTTGCCCTTAAAAAGGCGTATTAATTATTTATTTATTTATAAAATAAAACAAAAGAATAGGTATAAATAATAACGATTTATTTATTAAGGCGAAAAAATAAAATAAAACTACGTAATAATTCATTTTTCTATTTTTATTTTACAGTGTATTAATTATGTTTGTGTACATGGAATGTACTTTTTTGGTCCTTTTAAGTGTGGGAGAGCCAAGCTTCGGCACGAATGGGTCGGCTCGACCGGAGTGATACCACGGCCTCACAAAAAACCGTCGTGAAACAACCACAGCGTTGTGTTTCGCCGTGTGAGTGAGGTTACTGGAGGCCCAGTCACCCAATCCCTTCCCAATCCTTAAATAACTGAAACCCTTATTCTTAAAACGCCGGCAACGCACTCGTAACTCCTTTGGAGTTGCAGGTATCCATGGGCGGCTCTGATTGCTTTCCATCAGGTAATCCGTCTGCTCGTTTGCCGATCTATTTCATTAAAAACAACACAAAAATCATGAAAAAACAATGTAACAAAAGTATAGGTAAGAGAAAAATATGTGTCCAAGCACACGAGATGGCCCTCGCTCAGCATATGCCGCGACCAAGACAGTGTCGCGGCGCTGATTTTTCAGCATTGATACATTTGATACAGTTGTGCATTAGGGTGCGAATTCCTAACCTGGTAAGTACCAATGTGACGTTTTCCGAGTTACATGTACTTTCTATGATTATTTAGACACCACTGACATACGGTGAAGGAAAACATCGTGAGGAAATCAGGACTTAAAAATTCTAATTAAAGTTTGAAATCGCCAATCCGCATTGAGCAAGCGTGGTGGTTAATGCTCAAACCATCTCCGTGTGAGAAGAGGCCATTGCTCAGCAGTAGGCACTTAAAGGCTGATGATGATGATGATGATGATGAAGAATCTAGATTATACCAGTTAATAGTTTTGCGTTAAAGTTGCGTTAAGGCTTAATCCTAACCTCAAAAGGCCAGTAACGAACTAGTAACGCCTCTGGTGTTGCGGGTGTCGTTGCCGACCTTTTAGGGATTAGGGATTTGGAGATTTAGGGATTGGAGGAGGGGAAGGATTGGGCCTCCGGTACCCTTACACACACGGCGAAACACAACGCTGTGGCTATTTCACGCCGGTTTTCTGTGAGGCCGTGGTATCACTCCGGTCGAGCCGACCCATTCGTGCCGAAGCATGGCTCTCCTACAATATGTACTTATATGAAAAAACTTATTTGTTCAATATTTCATTTAAACGCATAATAATAAAAATTAATGCTTCTACTATGCAGGCATATTTAAAAAGGTTGAGTTAGGTCAAACATATGTGTGGTGTCCTTCTGCGAGGACGTGATGTCGCAGAAGGAAGCTGCGGAACGGGAGAGGGAGATCTCCACTCCCTTCCCAGGCCGCAGAAGACGCACCGGGCGCAGAAGAAGGGCGGATAACGCCCTCTTCCGCCCCCCATGAATGGGTCCAGGGGCGACGGACTTGGGGAAGTCCCCGCCCCCTATCCGATGGACCCGAGGCGAAGGCGCGCGCGGTGTCTACGCGCGCCTCTAAGAGGATGCACGGGGTAGTCGAACACCTCACTACCCCGTGCTAGAGACGAGGCCCGGACAGACCGGGCCAGCACTAGTGTGGGGCTGCGGAAGAATGTGGATTCCCGCGGCCCCGCGCGCACG